ATAAAAATGTTGGCTTGGACGCTTTTTTTACACTGTATTTATTGACTATTTGGTGATTGAGGCTCAGACTGTTCTTGGCGTCTTGACTGGAAGAATACCGTCTGCTCTCCTATTCTAATAGTAGGTGCATATATCTATGCTTAAAAACACTAAATGGGATGTTTAATAGGCCAATCAGAAGGTAATTACAAGGAGTTGGGTGTAGGGTGCCTGGTTTTGTTCGTTTTCTTGAATTCAGATTCATTTCGGTTCTAAATACGTGATATATATGTTTGTTAGGAGTGTAAGCGAGTTGATCTCTTTGCACTTACTCTTTGATGTTGAGAATCGTTACTTTGTAGATTCTTGAATCATTTTCTTTCACCCGTTGGCTGTCGTTATTGTAAATCCCAAAGGTTATTTATTACTATTTTTTGTCCCTTGGGTTCCTAGTGAAACATAAGGCTTCAGTAGCACGTCGCCATTCCATTCTGTACTCTCTAATCTTTTTAATCTGGCTTCATGACTGGTCATAAGGTTTCATTTCTTCCTCACATGATCTCCATTTCACGCTCAGACGCCCAAAGGATATGGGATAACTGAATTTAAATGGATGAACGGTCAGTAGTTAGGAAATGGTGCTGTTGGTATGAGTGTCAGCCCGTGCGTCGTTCACTTGTTTCGTTTGGGTGAGTAAGCGAAAAGAATAGAGCAGTAATGACGACTGAGACGATGAAAGCAGATAGTGTTAAGTGAGAAAATGAGTAAATATTGCCATTACGAAGCTATCTCGGTCATCATTACATAACTGGATGTTATTAGAAAGGAAAATAAGAAAAAGCAACGCAGGTGAGAAGCAGTCCAAATACTGCACCTCCCTCAATATAGTTGGTTTCTAAATTAGTTGCATACAACTCATCCTCTTGAGTCTATCCACTGGTAGCGTAGTGGCCTCATTATCTAGTAGTACGTTTCAAAGTGCCCAAACTCGAGGAGAAAAACGGGTGTTTAATGAGTCTTTCTGTTTGGGTTACCCCGACGGAAATCGTCGTGACTAGCGTACAGAACTTCCTTGTGGGGGTTTAGTAGGCGATTATGAGGTCGCCTCTCACACAGTATCAGCATTGGACGTGGCACCACTGTACACTGGACCAAATTGCCATACCTCGTATGGGCACATCAAGCGAGAAAGCACTAAAATGCAAGGTAAAGAAGAAAGCGGTGAAAAGTAGTAAAAAGTCATTAAGAGAGAACAAAAAGAAGTGAGGGAATACTGAAATTAAGTATAATGATTAAGACGAAGATAATTTGTGGATACATCTGCACCAGTAATATCGATTCTGAGCCATGTCACCTACAGTCTCCAACCACTGGTTTTTGTTGTCACATGAATCCCAACCGGCTAGTTTGCATCGCCCTACATGGCTCACACCAACAATCTAAGACTTTATGCACTGAAGCCATGTTCAAATTTCCCGCCACGAGCCTTTTCCCAGCCTGAACTTACTTCAGCTAACATTGTGTGAAGAGGCAGACGGTGGATAGACATGCGTAACATATGTCCTAGTCGTTTCATTTGATTCAGGTTCACAATCAAATCAACTGGCCTTCTTCTCCCTCAAATTCTACATCTGACTTCTTTACTGAAGTGGTGAGACTACAACATAGTTTGGGCTTCGAAGGCTACGGTGATCAGACACCTAAAGCCTTCTCATATCTACCCTTGATGACCATATTTCATAGCCACATACTAAAAGAAAACTAACTGCAGCGCAGTACATTTGACTCTTAATGGACAGGTGGGTATCGTGGGGGCTCCACAGATGGCCTAAGTTGGCAAAAGCCGAGCGAACCTTTTGCAACCGTGCAGGGATTTCGTCAGTCATTGTCACACCAGGGCTGATTCAAATTCCCAGGTAAGTGAAGTGGTCGATATATTCAACTACTTCATATTATTATTAAACGGGGCACCGTTGAAAACCAATCCTAGAGCAACAATTTCCATTTTGACGGCTAGAAACGCATCCTGAACATTCAGATTACCATTCAAAGTGTCATCGTCTTCATCCAACAAGACTATATCATGTGATTACTCCAGATCTAAAATATTTGTGACTAGTCCCTATAAAGTCAGAAGACCAGAGGTAGACAGACGGACAGACGAAATCAAAGTAAAAACTCACACACAAATACATCGGTTCGAGTTGTCATACCTCACATTAGCATACAGAGAACGGGTGAATAGAGAAAGAGTGATAATATAGTAGACAAAGTTGTGTGAGAGAATTATGCAATCTGAAGATAAAGGTTAGTGCAAATATTCAAGCCTAAAAAGATGTAAAGAAGTGAATACATCTGCATCATTGTGACTGATTTTCAACCATGTCACCAAGACTCCTCAACCACCGATTTCTTTCGTTTCGGAGACCTCCAATCAACCAGATAGCTAGCTCTCGTGGTCTTGCAGGTGTAGGCATGGCAGTAAGCACTAGGGCAGAAAACTCACTATTAGACTGGATCCCAGTTGATGATCGCCTCTGCGCTATGCAAATGAACGGCACGGTGAGAACTAAAAGGAATAGTGAGACTCGCCCTTGTCTCTTTGTAATCTCTGCTTACGCACCCACTGACTGCAGCTCGGAGAAGTGAAAGACGATTTTTACTGTAAACTGTCTAACCTCCTCTCGAAAGCCAAACGTCCGGACGTGGTTGTTGTTGCAGGTGACTTCGATTCACAGGTGGGTAGACTGAGTGAGGCAGAAAGACACTTGACTTCGGTGGCACTTTCGGAATCCTGATTGAACGTACAGATAACGGTGATGGCCTATTACAACTGTGCTCAGATAACCGCCTTTTTTAGTCAGCACCAATTTCAGACATAAAGAAAGACACTGTCTGACGTGGCGTCCACCGAGCTCAACTGAGCGATGGACACAGATAGACCACATTGCTATTAGTCATCGCTGGAGAGGATCGGTGGAAGAGTGCCGTTGCTTCTGAAGTACGTGTTTGGACAGCGATCTTGCGTTAGTGCGAGTGCGTATATGCCTGCATCTCAATGGATATAGGAAACATTTGACAACAAAGGCACTACGAGTGCTGCTAGACAACGGAAACACCAAAGCCGTGTTCAGTGAAAAGTTGGCTAGGCAGTTATCGTCACCAGGTTGCCTAGACGTTGACCTAATCACAGTAGAATTTTCGTTAGACCTAGAATATTCAGATGACATAGTCCTGTTAAGTGAAGATGCTGACAAGATGCAGAGTCTTCTGAACACTTTGAGTGGGAATTTGAGAATGTTTGGGATGCGGTCCTCACCACTCAAATGCAAATTTTTGCCCTAGGACTGGTGTTGAGCGGTACCACGGCTAACAAAAGCGAGTGAAGTGGTTGAGTGTATCGACCACGGATATAAAAGGCTCGATTGGCTTTTGCCGATTTACGCCACCTATGGCTCCGGCGTGATATCCGTTTGTCTATTAAGGGTCGCATGTACTGCACAGCAGTACACTCTCTTCTACTCTATGCCTGCGAAACATGACCATTGAAGGTGAAAGACATGAGAAGGCTTCAGGTGTTTGACCACCGTTGCCTTCATAGTATAGGCCGTATTACGTGATGCCACCATGCGAGTAACGCAGACACCAGGCGGAGAGTTTTAGGGAGAAGTAGTATGTCATTTGAGAAGTTTGTGAACCTTCATTGACTGAGATGGTTGGGACACGTATTATGTATACCTAGTCGCCAATTACCTCGTCACACAATGTTGGTCGAAGTAGGTGCAGGCTGGAAAAAGACCCGAGGCGGCCAGACTAAAACATGGCATCAATGTATGAAGTGTTTGACTATTGGTTTGAGCCATGTGAGGCGATGCAGACTAGGTGGTTTGGGTCTGTGGGATAAGAGGAACCAGCAGTTGGAGACTGTAGGCTATCAAATGGCTGAGAACCGAAGTCAGTGGCGCAGATTTATACACACATTATCCTCATCTTAACGACGCTATACTGAATCTCACCACTTTCTCATTCTTCCTTTCTCTCTTTTCGTACTTTATATTTCTTTTGACTGCATTCTTTTACCTTCATCCTTCACCTCACTACGTTTCTACTTGATGTAGTGATATGAGGTGTAGCAAGTTGCACCGTTACGCAGTGATACCTGGTCCTATGTTGATATTGATGATGATGATCGTCCCACCCGACTCAGACCAACAGTCAGAGACTGTCGACTGATGGAGATTGTTCGTCATTTTACAGAATACTATGATGGAACTTTTGATGGCACATCTTATTTCTTCTAATGTTAGGATGTCTGATTACGATTATTGTTATACATTGTTCGTGCTGAACAGCTGTGTAGGCAGTAGCTATAGCTTTTTTGGACTAAGCTTCTAAATTTATTCAGATTTGAATCCCTCCTTATCTATGGAGGAGGTTTAGACACTTAAGTAGTGTTATAGTCCTAACAGTTAGTGTAAATCATTGATGATTAGTGCACTGATGTATATTTATTTGTCGAATTGCATTATTTATATTACCAACGTATGACATATTCGAACACCGCTTCACCTACCGAGGTGGTTAGGACAACCAGCCATCACACAATACGTGTGGCTCACGGCTGTGCAAATGTGTACAAGGTTGCTGAGTGGATTTCGATTTTTATCTATATTCATTTTTTTTGTTGCCAGAACCCATTTTACTATAAGAAAATGAAACCTAGAATAATAGTATACCTCATAAGGTTGAGTTGAGTTTTAGTAGATAAAATCGTAGATAGCAAAGCTAACTGCTTAATTGCTATCTTCATTTTAATCCCATTTGTGTCCGTACCGCTGGTTTAATTTTATGAACAAACCTATCCTATTGATTATATAAGTTTCTTTCATTCATGTATATCTTTCCTTAAATTTTTTGTTTGTAGATTTCCATCTTATGATCATAATAATGACGGTAAATTTTATTTAACAATTAGCAATTTATATTTTCCACCTTCGTTAGTTACTAATGGCGCTTAGATAATGTCAGACGGGCGTTATCCTATTACTGGTAATCAGAAAGCAAAGGTTTGTAGATTATCGATTAACTTTCATAACTTGGTATCTTAGTGTTGTAATGTTTCATCATGGATAAAAAGCAAGATTGAAGATGAAGGTGTGCAGGCAAGAAATATAATCAAGTATAGTGTTCCCGTTGATAATCCCAGTCCCCGTAAGTTTTACTATAATATTTATGATATTAAAAGTAGTGTTAATCCTTTCTACTTCTCAGTTTCCTTATTTTGGATAGATAGATAAACTGATAGACAGTAAAATCAACGTAGAACCTCGCACACAATTGCATGACCTCAAGTTGCCATGCCTCACAGTAGTATACAAAGAACAGGTGGGTAGAAAAAGACTCGTATCGAAGTAGATAAAGTAGGGTGGGAGCGTAAAGAATTTAAAGATAACGGTGAGTGTAAATATTCAAGCTTTCGAAGACATCAAGGAGTGAATCTGTACCATTGTGACCGATTTTCAGCCATATCACCAGGAGTCCTCAACCACTGATTCCTTATCATCCCGGGGAACTCAGTCAGGTGGTGTACATCTCCCCACATGACTCAGACAAACAGTTAAAGACTTCATCTTGCTTTGGCTGCCCTGAACTCTCTCGCAAGCTAATCCAGGTTCCGTTAGCACTGCGCGTCGAGGTAGGCGGTGACTAGGGATGTGTGGTACATGTTCAAGCCATTTCAGTCGATGAACATTCACAGCCTCATCAATCGACTGACTTACCTATCTTGCCTAGTACCCTCCACCTGACCTCTTGATGATATAGCTCAAAATCGGTCACAATAACATTTTTTAAAGGTTGAATATTAACTCTAACCTTTATCTTGGGATTTTTTTTACTCTCTCACGCTGATTTATCGTCTTTGACATCACTCTCTGTCCATCTGTTCTTTGTATGCTACTGTGAAATGTGGCAAATTGAACTCTGATTCACTTGTGCGCGAAGTTGTAAGTTGATTTTGTCAGTCATTCAGCCTGAGTTCAACATTCCTCACACAATGATTCCGCCAAATGTGAGCCACGATGCAAAGACATCTGTGATCAAAATCCTGTAGTCGTTTTATGTCTGAAGTATATAACAGAACGGAATGAACATGATAAAAAGGAGGAAAGTATTTCAAGTGCCTTTATAACTTTATTTATTTGAGTACTGTCGGCAGATTGACTTCATTAGTAATTGATGTAGTTGTCGAACTGACATAGTAGTCTCGACTAGGTGTTGTCGAACTTCATTTTACTTTAGAGCATAACTGTTTTACTTTATGTTGACTTTCATATATGTGCTTGAATCCTTCTTCTCATTCATTTCTGTATTTTGCTGTCTTGTTTGAAATGTGTCGGTACAAAATGAATTCATTTTTGTTTGTTATGTTAAATTGTCTAGTCTTAGGCATCGGTCTCGTCAAAATTATTATTTTTCTGGTCAGATTTTAAGCATATGATTCCCTTCAATACAATTCTAGTTTAGGTTGACATTCTCAGTGATTGTAATTAAAGAAAAGCAATCACCACCTGCAACTCGTCCAGAAATACCATCAGCAATGGCAGAACTACCAGTGAACGCAGGCCCTCCGACAAAAGCAGACATCCTGGATGCCATCAAGTTGCTTAAATCCGTGAAAGCAGCGGGACCAGATGGAATTCTGCCAGAAGCACTGAAAACACAGAGACAACAGCGGACATGCTCACACCACTACTGCATGAGGTTTGCAAGCAAGGAAGGAAAGGTACCTGCCCATTGATTAGAAGAAAGGCTACCTTGTCGAACTCCCAAAGAAGGGAGACCTAAGTCTTTGCAGGAACTGGTGAGGAATCGTAGTCCACCCCTGTCCACCCCAGGCAAAATATTAAGCCGCATCATCCTGGAGAGGCTAAAGGATGAGCTGGATTTAAAATTACGACCGGAACAGGCTGGCTGGATTCAAGAAGTAAAAATCATGTGGGGACCAAGTTGCAACACTACGCTACGCATCATCATAGAACAGAGCACAGAATGACAGTCAACTCTCTACCTCAACTTCATTGACTTTGAAAAGACCTTCGACAGCATCGACCGAAAAGTAATTTGGCAGTTGCTTCAACACTGCGAAGTGAGTGCCACAAATCTTTATCAAACTCATTTAACAGCTATATGAAGATGCCACATGCGAAGTGATCCACAATGGAAAGCTCACTGACACCTTTGAAGTGAAGACAAGAGTAAGAAAAGGCTGCCTACTATCACCGATGATCTTCCTGATTGTGGTGGACTGGATCATGCAGCGAACCGTGAGGAGCTAGAAAATGGGCATACTCTGGCTGTTTGACCGATGAAAAGACCCCAGAAGATTTGGATTTCGCCGATTATCTATGTTTTATGTCGCACAAACTCGAAGATGTACAGGCAAAAACCAAAAAGTTGACAGAAGAGGCAGTGCAGCGAAGGAAGACGGGACTTCAAGTGTACGTAAAGAAGACAGAGGTGATGATGATACCCAACCAACAACACCAACAACAACCTCCAATCACCATCAATGGGATAAACATAAAGGAAGTTGTCTCTTTCACCTACCTAGGCAGGGAGCATCGTTTCAACTACAGGCGGCACAGATGAGGATGTGAAAGCCAGGATCGGAATAGCAAGCAAGACAGGCCTTTCTTCATTAATCTGAAATCAGTGTGGAGGTCTACTGCACTCAGCACAAAGGACGAGATCGGGATTTTCAACAATAATGTCAAGTCAGTGATGCTATATGGTTCAGAAACTTGGCGCGTCATGAAAAACACTTCCAAAAAACTGTAGGCATTCATCAACAACAACTGGCGCTTACGCTCTTTACTGAAGCTCAGATGGCCAGAAAGAATAAGCAACAAGGAACTATGACCTGGGAACGAACCAACCAAGAACCCATCACTCAGCAAATATGCAGAACGAAGTGGAGATGGGTCGGTCATACACTGAGAAGACCGATTTGGGACATCACTCGCCAAGCCAGGTCCTCGAGTGGAACCCAAGTGGGAAATGACGAGTTGGGCGTCAGAGGTCAGAGTGACACGGAGGAGATAGTGCGAGGAAGAAATGAAAGCTTGTGGGCATTGGTGGAGCCAGGTTGAAAAGATTTCAGGGAAGAGAGTGCACTGGAGACATGGTACTAAATCCCTATGTTCCATTAGGAACCCAAGAGAAAAATAATGGTATAATATGAATAGTTTTAATTGACTTTTGAACAAATCTATTTAGTCAATGCATATATTTCCTGTCTACTTCACTTTTCAGGTAAACGTTACGTTACGAAGTGTAATTTTAGTCGATCTTCCTCTGAAATTGTACAACAAATCGAAGACCCAGCAAAAGATGAAATGATTACAAATGTTATATCTTCATATCGGGAGAGTAGAAGTCGAGGCTCTTTATGCTCTGATGTTGATCATCCTAGTAGTTTACATAATAGAACTATTTTAAGTGTAGATGGTTTTCATGAAGGACAAGCTATCTCTGATACATGTTCTTCCAGTTTAATTTCAACTAATTCAAGATCTATTTGTTCACAACCATATCATCGACATCTTAGTTCATTGGGAAAAACAAAAACAACAACAACATTAACTCATTATCGTCAGATGAATCGTGGGAAACCATTAACTGAAAGTGAGTATAAAGCACGTTATTGGGGTCAAATGTTGGAAACATTAAGACGAACTATAGATGAGATATATTCAGCATGTGAAACAGATGAAAATGAAGTGGAATGTAAGGTAAATTCTTAATAGATTAGTTGTTTTAGTGTTTTAAATAACTAAGGTGTTGTTTCATACAATTAAATTCCCTTTATAGAATGAATTAGATTCATTTTGGTGTGCTCTAAATCTTCCACTTCTATGCAATAAACTTAAAACTTTCTAGAGTCAGGTATCAGCCAGTCAGTCAGTCATTGTCCAGTGATATAAGTCATTTGATACATTTCAGTAGTAAACTCAACACCGAATACATCCTTCACACGTAAACATCAATACACATATATATGGAGGGGAAGAGAGATGAATGTAGATAAATGAATGGTTTTATACTGGTCATATCGAACTCCCTATACCATGAACTTGCTCGATGGTTTGCATAGGAACCATAGAAATACGGGACCAAGAGAATTTCTCATAGCCACACCTTCTGTCTGTCTGTAATAAGCGCCATTAAACTAAAATTGAACATTTTTTTGTGTATAACATCAATAAATCTATCGGTCTATGAAAAGTCTATTATATCAGTAATGACAACATACGATATCAATTGTTTCTTCAAGTGTCATACATTCGTGAATAACGATCGAGTCGACATCATAAGAAACCATATGATCTTCACATATATAAATATCATCAATCCTACTAACAAATTTAAAAGTCTCCTTTAACATAACATATGGACAACTAGCTCTTTCCTCATAAGGTTCAATTAATTGTGCAAACCATTGAGCAATTTCATGGTATAGGGAGTTCAATATGACCAGTATAGAATCATTCATTTATCTACATTCATCTCTCTTCCCCTCCATATATATGTGTATTGATGTTTACATGTGAAGGGTGTATTCGGTGTTGAGTTTACTACTGAAATGTATCAAATGACTTATCTAATGATCAGATAGTTCGAAATGTGTTGCGCAAATACATTACACGGTTCAGACAATTTACGTCTTCTTATTGTTTTGTCGAAGTTTATAAAGGGAACTAATTGTTTTAAATTCTTGAAGAGAAGACTCCCTCCGCACACTATCAAAAGGTTAAATGAACTTGTTAACCTTAGGTGCAAAATTACCTCTGAACGCGAGAGAATTGGATTTTACCAGTCATGTATTTCAGGTCATATGTTTCCCAGACAGTTTTACAAAACTTTGAAATCTAATAAGCTACAACCAAACATCTCCAATCTTATGCATCTTACAAAGTCACATGTCGAAAATGGGCAGGATAAGCTGCATGATATGCTTTTACTCCACATCAATGTATCAAATATTCTATCGGATTTGTCAATAATATGTCGTTTGAAATTCCTACAATTTTGTAGTAATGTCATTCTCAAAACGAAAGCCAATATGCATCAGAAGCTAACCAGTTCACTTGACAGTAAAAATCATATTAACCATTTCCCTGTTAACCCGGATAAGTACGTTACTAACCTTTCTACAGTGACACTGTCCACCTATCAGAAGGAAGCCCTATCCCTTGGACTTAAATTTTGTGTTCCTCGAAAGCAGTCATCAGATTTGGCTACCCATGCACAGTTTGAAAACCTATACAACCAGTTGAAACCTCTCGTCCCAACTTCAATTGAGGACCAGGGATGGCTGAAAGCCAAGATGGTGGATATCGCCCACCAGTTTTGTGATAGCCATCAGAACCAGAAAAGCATTCTAACTTCTGAACATTTCAGAGCTATGAAGGAACTACGAGAGAACCCTGATATTATTATCCTCAGACCTGACAAAGGCTCAGGTGTCGTGATCATGGATAAAATCGAATATAAGTGTAAAATGTCATCGATTCTTGAAGATGAAAATAAATTCACTAAGGATTGTTCTTCAGAAGACGTACAATTGTTACAGGGAACTGTGACCGCTAATCTAGTGAAACTGCTCGAAATGAACGTCATTACCAGTCAAAAATTCGCCCTACTGAAACCAACTGAATCCCGATTCCCACATCTTTACGGTTTGCCCAAAGTACATAAACCCAACAACCCCTTACGTCCCATAATGTCAATGTGTAAGTCGCCAACGCATAAGCTTGCCCAGTGGCTAGTGGAGTTATTGGATCCCATTAAGAAGCAATTTTGTAAGTATTCCTTAAAAGATACATTTGAAGTAATCAAATGCCTTGAGCATGTCAACATAAAGAGTAAATTTATGTGTTCATTTGATGTTAACTCATTATTTACCAATGTCCCTTTGGTCAAGACAATTGACATTTTATGTAGTTATATTTCTGTGCATAAGTTTCCGATACCCATTACTTTGGATCACCTAAAACAGCTGTTACTTTTATGTACAAACAATATTAAATTCACCTTTGAGGGCGAACATTTCCGCCAGGTTGATGGTGTCGCTATGGGAAGTCCTTTAGGTCCCCTCCTAGCCGACATATTTATGTCACACGTTGAGAACTTAGCCGAGAACTTAATAGACCAAGCCCATCTGTATCGAAGATATGTTGACGATATCCTGATTATTTGTGAAAACTCAAATCAGGCTACTTCAATTCTAAACCGACTGAACGAAGTACAGAACAGCATATCTTTGACATGTGTAAGAGAGGAAGATGACTGCTTGCCGTTCCTAGATATATTAATTAGTCGAAGGCAGGATGGATCCATAAAACGATCTATCTACAGAAAACCTACATGGACAGGGCAATATCTGAATTACCATAGCTTTTGCCCAGTTCAGTACAAGCGAACGTTAGTAAGGTGCTTATTCAGCAGAATTCAACGAATATGCACCGAGGATACTTTAGAAGATGAAAGAGGAACACTGACCGATATTTTGTTGGAAAATAACTATCCATCAACATTTATCAGGCAGAACAAAATCAGCAGAGCGTCAAAACTAGAACTGCAGTCAGTCCCAAAGAAGGATGTCTTCATCAGCCTTCCGTACAAAGGTGACTCTCAGAGTGCAATCCTTAAGCAGAGACTTAACGCTGCTGTTAGAAGGACTTACTATGCAGCCAGGGTTCGAGTAATCGAAACCACGAAGCCCTTATATTCCCCCAAACCCCCACAGCATGTGAACGATAATGTCACATCCCATTGTATCTACCAATTCAAATGTACGTGTGGTGACACATACATAGGGAGGACTAATAGATCCATGCAAGTAAGGGCCTCGGAACATATTCCAAAGTGGCTTCAGAAGCAAATTAAATCACCTGAACCTATAAATGTTGGTAGCAGACGTCCAAGTTCTTCGATCGCTAAACATATCGTTGAGACAGGTCACAAGATTGATGTGGCTACTTCCTTTACACCTATTTACAAAACATGTTGGGGAGGGATCCTGAAATTTGTTGAAGCCTTAGCTATTAGGAAGTTGAAACCACCTTTATGTATTCATAAACAATTTGTTGTCACATTAAACCTTCCTTGGTAAATTCAACTATTGAAAAACCAAGTTCGATGTACTATTATTTTTTCGCTATATTGATTTTCAAGTTGTTATTCATCGAAGACTGACATAAGTTGGGGGAACAAAGGAAACCTAGGAGCACTGGACAGCTGTTTCGTCCTAGTATGGGACTTCTCAGCAGTGCTCACCCACGACCCCACACTACCATGGATCGAACCCGCGACCTTCAGGTTCCGCTACCAGCGCGTTACCATTGAGCTACTGGGTCAGAATCCAATGCTCCATATTTCCAACTTCTGTTAGCTCACGATATAGCGCAAACCGCCACCCAACGTCATCGTTGAGTATTTGTCCTCACGACCATCAGGCTTTGACTCCACCGGTCACGACTTGTCATTGGAACTTCGGGAATACTTCTCGAAGCTAGTCACCAACGAGCACTAATTCAATTAAATTTTGAGGGGGTTGTGGAGATTTGGAAATATTTCAAGTTGTTATTCATTGAAGACTGACATCAGTGCGCACTGCTGAGGAGTCCCATACTAGGACGAAACAGCTGTCCAGTGCTCCCACGTTTCCTTTGTTCCTCCAACTGATGTCAGTCTTCAATGAATAACAACTTGAAATATTTCCAAATCTCCACAACCCCCTCAAAATTTATATTGATTTTCATTGTTATTCGGCCTTTAAGTCAGCCTTCATACCTGACCCCTTTTTATTTTCTCACCCTTTATCTTCACGAGTTTTTATATAAGTACCTATGACAAGTACGTGTGTGATCAGATAGTTCGAAATATGTTGCGCAAATACATTACACGGTTCAGACAATTTACGTCTTCTTATTGTTTTGTCGAAGTATTAATTATGATAATTTGGTTGGTTGTGGCTAGCAGAAGAATCCAGGACTTGCGTTTCATTCTATTTATCACTTGTCAGCTGGTTATACCTACACCCTAATAAGTGATGTTGTTCCAGCTCAGACTCCAACCTCGTACCCATCGTTTCAAACACCAAGGCGTAATCCAGTATGTCAATAAATAGTAAATTGTTATTTCTTCATCTTATAGTATGCATCCTGATAATTATGTTCTCCTTTGATAGTAAATAATCGTCTACTTTCAAATATTCTACTCATTTCAGGAGGTGATCATGATTTTAGAACATAGTAAACAAGATTTCTTCTCATTAATTGAAAAGATGAATTTATTACGTGATTATGAACAAACTGATGCACAAAATAGGTAAGCTTATTCTTCACGCCTTTTTAATACGGTATTCGCTCTATTAACTGTATCCATTTTTAAATGCTTTGGTAATATAGTGCACTCTATTTATTCGTTTAGGTATTATTATTTGTCCCTTGGGTTCCTAGTGGAATATAGGGCTTCAGTAGCACGTCTCCATTCCACTCTGTTCTCTGTAATCTTTTCAACCTGACTCCACGATTGCTCACAAGTTCTCATTTCTTCCTCACACGATCTTCTCCATGTTACTCTCACCTCTGACGCCCAACTCGTCATTTCCCATTTGGGTTCCACTCGAGGATCTGGCCTGGCGTATGATGTCCCAAATCGGCTTTCTCAGTGTATTCCCAGTCCAATCCATCTCTACTTCCTTCCAGTGCATATTTGTTGGGTGATAGGCTCTTCCTTCATTGGTTCGTTTCCAGGTCACAGTTCCTTGTTGCTTATTCTAATCATTCTGGCCACCTGAGCTTCAGTATCGAGCCAGCGTAGGTGGCAGTTGTTGATAAATATCTGTAGTTTATTGGAAGTACTTTTCATGACGCGCCAAGTTTCTTAACCATATAGAAGCACTGACTTGACTGAATTAGTATTGAAAATTCAGATAATGTTTAAGCTGTATGCTGAGTGGAGTGCAGTAGATCTCCACACTGGTTTCAGGTTAATGAGAGAAGGTCTATCTTGCTGTCTTTCGTATCCTAGTTTTGATATCCTCGTCTGTGCCTACGCAGCCTGTAGTTGAAATGATGCTGCACTGTGTAGATAGGTGAAGGAGGCTACTTCCTTTACGTTTCTCCCGTTGATGGTGATTGGAGCTTGTTGTTGTTGGTGGTGGTGTTGGTTGGGTATCATCATCACCTCTGTCTTCTCTACATTCGCTTGAAATCCAGTCTTCAATGAGCCGAACCTTATTGTATGTAAGAGCTAAATGATACTTATTATTTAACTATTGAAACCTTGATAGTTGGAGCGACGTTCGAACCCATGATTCATTGTTTAAAAGTCATCTCTGTAAATCGATAAACCGCAGTTCTACAGTATACTACACCTGCATTAAGTGGAAATTAAAATTGATTCAGCGATTATTTTCACATTTGTACAGTAGAAAAGTAATAAACCACACCTATTATGTTGACGGCTAAAGATACTTATTACCCGGCTACACAAACATCAATTAGTTCAGTAGGTTATAAGTCTGTGATCTACTTGTTGAAAGTTGAATACCGTGACCAATAAGCCACACACACATATTTAGTATTCATTAGTGATCTACTTTGAAATGGATATCCTAAAGTTCTAATAAGTACTCATGACTTGTGGGGGTCAGCTAACCCCGAGGGAAAGCGGATACCAGTTGAAGGCATTGGTTAGTAGTCATGCTTTATCAGACATTGACAAAAGTAGAAATTCCTACCAAGTGGCTGAATGGTTAACACATTTGCCTTGAAATATAATGGTCCTAAATTCAGTCTCTGGTGGGATCGTGGGTGGATACTGACGAGAATTCTCATACTGGGACGAAAAGTCTGTCTAGTCTCTGTACCTTCAGGTAGGTGCATGTACAAAATACTGTCCGAATGCAGTTACCTCTCTGTTCTTAAAAATAATGGAGAAGCTAAGAATACCTGTGCTTGAACGCTCATTGATGGCTTTGGAGACCCTAGTCAATTTGCATATATATATATATACTCTGCAATACCCTTTTCTGCTAGACAAGCTAACCGGGAAAAATACTCAATCCTGGATAATCAAATATCTGTATTCCTATTTCTCTGATAGAAAACAACATACTGTTCACAGAGGGAAGCTCTCCACTTCATTGCTTACTGTGACTGGAGTTCCTCAAGGAGCCATCCTTTCACCTATGTCTTTTCTCATTCCTTCTACATGACTTACCGTCTTTAGATGGGTAGCCTTTTCATCAACTATGCTGATGACCTAACAGTTTCCATACCTGACCTATCTCCTCTTCAGTAGATTGCTCTCAACTGTTTATTCCTCATGATTCCTGTTCTACTGATAGTTGTGCATTGGAGAATGTTACAAGTGTGACTCATTTTGATATGTTTTTCTTTGGACCTTTTCTGATTCTTCCCTACATCTTGCTAATTTCCAAAGGATGTTTCCACCTATTCACAGTATTGCCACTACTATTATTAACATCATTATCAACATTATTATTACTATTATTGTTGGTGTTATTACCACTATTATTACTAGTATCAATAACTGTGTTATTGATATTTTTCTTACGATTCCTAAGGAGCTTATAAAGTAATCTGGCAGGGTAATTTTTGATGATTAAGGTGTCTTTAATGTATCTGGTTTGTTGTTTTAGATCCTCTGTTTTACTAGTAAAATTTATGGCCCAGTTACTTAGACACTTTAGTAAGCCAACTTGAACTGACTGGCATAGGGTGAGACGATTTGAAGTCATCTAATTAACAATTTGAATGTGAAGGTTTATTGTAGACACTAGTGCATCTTAACTTCCATCTTGTTTCCTTTTTATTCGGCAATCCAATATGGCTAGTTCTCCTTCGCTATTTTTTAATTCATAGGTGAATTGGATTGCGTTGACTACTGAATTTATATATGTGAAGAAATTATGTATGTGTTCGACCCTAATTACCCATAATTACCCTCACAGATTAATTGATAAGATCGTCAGGAATTGTAAGAAAAATACCAATAACACAGTTATTAATAGTAGTAATAATAATGGTAGTTATTGCAACAATAATAGTAATAATAGTGTTGATAATGATGTTAATAATAGTAGCGACAATAATGTGAATAGAGAATTCAAATCCACTACAGTATTACAATACAAAGAAGACACCTGAGAATCACTACGTGGAATTCTCAATAAGGCTGGCTGGCTGGCTGGCTGGCTGGCTGGCTGGCTGGCTGGCTGGCTGGCTGGCTGGCTGGCTGGCTGGCTGGCTGGCTGGCTGGCTGGCTGGCTGGCTGGCTGGCTGGCTGGCTGGCTGGCTGGCTGGCTGGCTGGCTGGCTGGCTGGCTGGCTGGCTGGCTGGCTGGCTGGCTGGCTGGCTGGCTGGCTGGCTGGCTGGCTGGGATTACAGTGGCACTGAAACCTACAAACTCACTTCGAAATAGGCTTTGTAGGTTAAAAGATCCTACCGATCCAATTAAGCCGAATAACTTAGTTTACCAAATCCCTTACAACGATTGCGAGGTGGAATACATAGGTCAGTTAAACTAGTCGACCAGGGTCAATTAGGCCATCGGAACACAAAAACCCATCTAGGTCAACATTGATTGATCCTAGTAAGGTAAGGAATTTAGAAAAGGGAGGCTCATCCATAGCTATTCACGCAATTACACACAACTACACAATAGGATGGGACAGGGTGAAAATTCTTAAAACCAACATAACAGGGTGGAGGGAAGGAGAGATTGATAACTGACTGGATCTTTGTTTATCGAATTAACCAACACCTAACACATAAAACAACAGGAATGACTCAGTACCTGTTCTGGATATATCGAAAATCTTATTAGCCATGTGACAAAGAGAGGAGGAAACTAGGACTATATATGAAGGATATCTGAAAGTTGTGTAGTTATCTTGATATGATGACTATGGACAATAAATTATGTCCGAAACGCGTTATCCTGTAAACAATACTATTCCTTCATTGTGTGATAAATCTAATAAACCAATGAAACTGTGATTTATCTTGATATATGTTTTTCTTCGGACATTTTCTGGTCTTCTCATATTTCACTAATTTCCAAAAAAATTTTCCGTCTAACAGTCTATATTAAGAAGCTGAGGGTAAGCGATATAACTCAGCCTCTCCTCTTGTGTTTTATAAACTCCTCCATCTTGCCTGTCCTTCTCTATTGTTCACCTTTATTCCTTCCTGGGTTGTTGGAAAATGAATGGGGTGTGTATTGCGTAGAACGTTGAAGATTGTCAACAGAACTAATGGTGTACGTGGAAACCTTTTAGTTAAAACAATTGTGGACAAATATATTGACTCATATAAACATCTATCAGAAGTTATTTTAACAGATGACCAACATTCTATTCATTTAAAGGTGTCTGTGTATCGGTCATCTGGAAAGATAAGGAGCAAGTAAATAAGACTCTATCCAGGTACTACAAAATATAAAAACTCTATAAAACCGTTGGTATTTAGCTCATCTACTGTGTGATGAAGAAAGTGTCAGAGATGAAGTAACACTAATCAACTTCTGTTTTTGATAGGAAACTAATCGATGATGATGATGAGGAGGATGTTACTATGTACGTATTATGAATGTAATTGTTAGCAATATGATTGTCTATGTAAATTGACTATGCATTTTAAAGAAAGTTGTAGATTGAGTGAATATTTTTATCTTTTCTTCATGTAATTTTCGACTTATTTCATTTTGTTATGTATACATGTGGACTGTTTCTCTCTAAATGATGCCATATAATGTTCTGAAAATTCTGTAGAGTATTCCTGAAATAGCTTTCAGAATAAAGCCATTGTTATTATTATTATTAGTATTAGTATTAGTATTAGTATTGTACCTATTTCTTTTTTCACCCTTTCTATCTTCGTCTTAGGCCAAATTCTCTTACATGGGATGAACGCACCACTTTGCCAGGAAAACCAATTATGCATCAGGTTCTTGCATCTGCATCAGGTGTATCTACACAACATCCTTATCTTTCACTTCCACTCAGTATTAAATCAGATAGTAGTATGATTGAGATACTAGATAGTGACTCAGATTTTGGTGGTAATAAATCAGGTAATTGGCGTTTATTAGTTACACAACCTAAATTAATAAATGGTAAGACTAATGATGATGAAAATAGTGATTTATGTGAATCATGCACTATACCTTCTGTTAATCGAGATTGTGGATCACATGAACTTATTGGTTTGAAAGCAGTTCACTGTAAAAAAGATCTTTCAAATGTTGCTCATATAGATGTATTCAAAATGCGACCAATAGAAATCTCAAATTTGTGTAGCTTAGACAATGAACCACCTGATGGTAATGATGGTGAAGATGAGGATGAAGTTGAAGGATATAGTCAGCATCCTTTGTGCAGAGCTTCAGAAGAGAGTACTGTACATCTTGAAGAAAATCAAAGACCTAACATATCTGGATACACCTATCTAGTTGATGATGCTGAATACGGTGATCATGATGATAACATATTGTCTCATGATTTGGAAAAATTAGATAAGGTGAGTTACAAACGAGCATTTATATATGTGTGTATATATGATACTTGAGGGTGAAATGAAAACCTCGTTTGTGGATGAATTCGAACCAGCATCCTCTAGGTTACCGACCGAACGCATCGAAATCCAGGTTTACATTCCGTTATCATTCATCACCGTTTATCATGGATAGGAGTCTGTTAAACTCTGGCTGTTTCACTAACAATAAATTCACCTCTCTCCTTCTCTAATTCAGATTTTGACGGGGAGACCTAGCTAGCTGGGCAAAACCATCGGTGAATTGAGATGGTCGTAAGACGCAGTCACTAGCTCGGTCTCGTAACGCACTTGGTGTATGACTTGTGTACTACTGGAAGCGTGTGGGTGGTTAACTTCTCGCCGCTGCCCACACCATGGAAGGCTGTTTCTTGAGGAAACTGAAAAAGAAGGGTTAGCGCATGACCACAGAGGCTATGGAACATCTGCTTGGGATCGGTCACACATCCTTTTGGCAAGTTTGAGATCTTGGTTTTTTGTTTTGAAACTGACTATGAATCCCTGTTGTAGGCATTGGCATGCCGACAGCGGAAGGTGTATGTTGCCTTTCCGCGGGAAAATGTTACTGCTGTCACATCCGCATCCAGTCAGCAGTACAACTTCGCCCTCAGACCTCCATCATCGCGTAGCAATTTTACACTATGATGGTAACTGGTTTTTTGTCTAACCACTATTCAGTAAACCTTTCTGGCTAGGTAAGACCTTGGGGGAACAAGCATTTCATTAGCATAGCTCTTTAGGCTATTGCGATATACAAGCCCAACTACCACGTCAAGATAGCAGAAGTCGGTCAGGTGCGCTTAGTATATAGACTGGCAGGCAATTTGGAGACCGCTTGTTCGAATTCTACCACAGCTACTTCTTCTAGGGCTGACGAGGTATCCGACTATATATTGAAGGTCGATTTTTACGGGCACATCCTTTTTTATATTTGTAAGAAATGACTGTTGAAAGTATGACAAGAAGGTTCGTCATCATCAAGATCAATATTGGACAGGGATTACTGCGTAACGGTCCAATTTGCTGCCACGCCTCATATCACCACATCAAATAAAACAGCAATAAAATGAAAGATGAAGAAAGAAAGAAGAATCGATCTAACAAAGTGGAAGTAGAAAGTGGTGAAAGAGAAGGAGAAGGAATGAGAAGACAATGAGATTAAGTATAGTGGTTAATGTGACGATAATATGTATGGGGATACATCTACACCAGTGACATCAGTTCTGAGCCATATGATCATATAGAGTCTCCAAGCACTGGTTTCTCTTGTCCCCTGCTGACCCTAACCGGCTAGTCTATATCGCCGTACATGACTCAAGGAAGTTACAAGTTTTTAATCACAGTTGCCTTCATAGCAATGTTCGAGTGTAGGGCGAATCAAAACGTTGGCGATATTGACGTTAGGTGTAGAGTTCTAGGTTAAGGAAATAACTTAATCCATAAAGTTGTAAATCTTCAATAATTTGAACATATATTGGATACACGAATCTCTGGAGGAAATCTAAAAGTTGTCAAACTGAAACACAATATCAATCCATGAAGTATCTGGTTGTTGGTGTTAATCGTATATAAGATTACTTTATTTATTCTGTCTCATTTCATAAAGTTTTGTCTGACGCCATGTCTCATTCAGTCTATCCACGGTACGCCTTCTTCCTGCTTACTCCTTCTTTGTCTAAAATTACACGTTGAAGTAGGTGGTAGTGGCTTGGAGGATGCAATACCATGTGTGCAAGCCAGCCAACTTGATAAACGCTCACAACCTCATCGATTGATTTGCCTTCCTTGCCTAGTCGTCTTCATATATCTATTCTAAAATGTACTAATTTATCAGCCGACTGGGGACATCACACGTCAGGCCCTCGAGTGGAATCCCCATGGGAAGCGACGAGTTGGGCGTCCGAGGGTGACATAGAGGAGATCGTGCGAGGAGGAAATGAGAGCTTCTGGGCTGTCGTGGAGCCAGGTTCAAAAGATTTCAGAGAACAGAGCGCATTGGAGATGTGCTACTGAATCCCTATGTTCCATTAGGAACCCAAAGGACGAATAATAATAATCTAAGTCGGATGGTGTTATTTACAATGTACAATAAGATTTCAATATTTATGGCTAGTATGCTTACTTCAACATTTATGTGACCAGTTAGCAAAAATATAGCCTGAAAGATATCTTCCAGTTTGTATACAGAGTGGAGGCTATAGGATATCCATTGGGGTCAATATTTACAGATATATTTTCGGTAAAATTGGAAAATGGTTCTTTGAAAGATCAAGTTGCTACTATGAAGGTGTACTGTCGATAAATGGATAATAATAATAATAATCACTTTATTCAAAATAATATGTATGACAGTGAAACGTATCCTACGCCTGTCTACTTATGAGGAGAGAAGTACGATCAACGTGCCCATCACCCGCCAAATGCAGATATATTGAAGTCTGACAAACGGAAAGCGGTATTTATTGAAGAAATGAAATATACAAGAGCATTAATCAAAATGCTCTGTCACCAGTGTTCGTTTTCATGTAGGGCCGTTACCGATAAATGTTTCACTGCTTAGTGAGGGAACCGACCCCCGAGGCTGAAGAGATGATAAAGTTCAAGCAAACAAATGTTCAGCATGAAATTAGAAGCTGAGCTAAAAATTGATCTATAATGTAACCAACCTTATAGTCACCCTGGTCAAGGGGTCATTATGTAGTTGTGATGTATGTTTATGTAAGAAAATAGATTACACATTCGTCACCAAAGTGATCTGTAATTGACACCAACAAACTATAACCAGTAAAGTAACAGTAACTAGCATAGGCTTCAGGCTGCTTTATCAACTTCACAATTTTCAACGTTTTCATCAACTTTCAGACACTGTAAGATACTGAATCTTACCGTTCATTGCATTTTATCAAAGCCACTGAGATCATATATTGTGTTATATAATATCATTTCATTTCCTTTATACATTCATCGATTATATTTGATATTGGACCGGAAATCTTTCTGGAACATTCTCCCATTTTACTTATATATTTATGAATGTACACCTACGAAAATGAGCACTCAAAAAGATAATTATCTTCGCTGCAGTCTGAAATAATAATAATAATAGCGATCACTTTATTCCAAACAATAAGTATGACATTATTTATTGACATGTTATTCTCCATTGTTTTGTTGGATCGAATTGTTCGACTCCTATGCGGATACCTTGATATTGGCTGAATGTTAATTATGATAAATTGGTTGGTTGTGGCTAGCAGAAGAGTCCAGGACGCGCGTTTCGTCTTATTTGGGACTCGTCAGCTGGATGTACCTGTACCCCAGTGAGTGATGTTATCCCCGCTGGGACTCGAACCTCGTACTCATCACTTCAAACGCCAAGGTGTTATCCACTATGTCACGGAGGAACGATAGCCACTTTTTGTACAACGGGTAGTAGTTATTACTATGTTAATAAATAGTAATAACTACTACCCCCGTTGTACAAGAGTCCCAAATAAGACGAAACGCGCGTCCTTGGATTCTTCTGCTAGCCATAACCAACCAATTTATCATAATAAGTATGACAGTATGGAATTCTCAGCATATAATTTTTCAACAAATTCACTCCTAGAACAATAATACTTTCAGACGAAATGGTTATTCCATCTGAATGACGTTATTCATAACAGTATTCAAGGCAATAATATGAAATACCCAGCTGATTGTGGATAGGTATCTGGTCCATAATAAAGAGTCAACAGGAATGTAAGTGTAATTTTGGTAGTGGTAGTGGTTCATTCAGACGATAGAAACATCTACAACTCAAGCTAAGCATCTTATGGATAGAAATATGATGTACTTGTTTACTCTGAAAGTCTATTTCCATGTGACGTAACATTTTTTTCCCTCTGTTTTGTTATTGATTGGAGAAATAAAGAGTTGAAAATAGTTTAAAAATGTACAAGAGTATATAATACATTCAAAAGATATATTTAAATGAATAAAACAAATTGAAAGGAAAGAATTTTGGAGAAAAATGTTCGATGAATAAATTTGGTAGCTCAAGATTCATAGATACATATGTATTAATTCTATTCTGAACCATTTCAACAGTGCTGCTCATTCACATCAATTCATTTCATATACGAAGATGAAATCAATCATCCGATGCATTTTCTTGATGTTCTAATGACAAGAAACAAAGATGACTGTATACTGAGAAGTGTACATATAGAAAACTAACGTCTAAGCTACACTATGCTCACTTTCTCACGTTCTTACCGATGAAGTACAAACGTAGTATAGTCTGATGCGTAGTATTTAGTGTAAGATTGATTAGTTCCAAGAAGTGTATGGAAGAAGGACTACTGTGTATCCATAATGTTCTAAGGGGAGATGGATATCCGAATAAGTTGATCAGAGCTAACATCAACTACATTGGTCTTAAGCAAGAAGAAGCCTTTTTTTAAAATGCAAATCGGCTTTCCATATCATTTAGTAGTCAACAAATGCTCAATCAGTTCATAGGTTGTACGATTATGCAGGTGCGTCTCTAGATACGAGAGCATTTACCAGCCTGGTTAGGAAAGAGCAAAGTGAAAGTGGTGAAAAGTTCACTCGTAGCCCATCTAGTCGACACGTGGCACCATCGCATAGATGTTAATAAAGCTTTCAATATCATTCATCGTGTTACAAAAACGATACCACATGTAGTTCGTCAACATCTGTTCAACATAGCACAGGCTGTCACAATAAGATTGATCTAGCCTGAACTCTGGATTCAGAGAGAACATGTCCAAGTGTTACTTCTCCCTTAGCCTTCAACAAATAACTAAAGGCCACTCTTGCCATCTTATCATTCATTCTGTATATATGTATCATCCTTACAGTTAGTAGATCTTACTGCATTTTGAGGAGGTAACTGCTGGTAACATGTCTTGGTTTTATATTATTATTATTAGTCCCTTGGGTTCCTAATGGAACATAGGGCTTCAGTAGCACATCTCTAGTGAACCTTGTTCTCTGAAATCTTTTGAACCTGGCTCCACGACAGCCCAGAAGCTCTCTTTTCCTCCTCGCACGATCTTCTCCATGTCACCCTCGGACGCCCAACTCGTCGCTTCCCATGGGGATTCCACTCAAAAGCCTGACGTGTGATGTCCCCAATCGGCCTTCTCAGTGTATATCCAGTCCAATCCATCTCCACTTCCTTCCAGTGCATATTTGTTGAGCGATAGATTCTTGCTTCGTTGGTTCGTTCCCAGAGCTCCTTGTTGCTTATTCTTTCTGGCCATCTGATCTTCAGTAGCGAGCCAGCGTAAGCAGTTGTTGATGAATGTTTGTAGTTTATTGGAAATCCCTTTAGAAACGCGCCAAGTCTCTGAACCATACAGAAGCACTGACTTGACTGGGTTGGTGTTGAAAATCCGTATCTTGTTCCTCATGCTGAGTGCATAAGATCTCCACACTGGTTTCAGGCTAATGAAGGCCTGTCTTGCTTTTCCGATTCTGACTTTGACATCTTCGTCTGTCCCACCTGTAGTTGAGACAGTGCCTCCTAGATAAGTGAAGAAGGGTTACTTCCTTTAAGTATCTCCCGTTGATGGTGATTGGAGTTTGGTTTTACTCTATACAAATACATTTTATAATTGTAGAAGGTGGGGAGAGAATTCTGTTGAAAAGTACTATTCTTCGTTGTTCAGATTGTTGCTTTTTATAAGTATTATGGAAGTCATGATAGCCATCTGTTGTGTAACGAGTGGCAAGTACATCCAATTAAACAATTGACAAATAGGATGAGACACGCGTTGTACATTCCACTGCTAACCACTCTCCGTCATTATTAACAAAGTGGCTTACTTTTAAATTCATCATTTGGAAATGTAGATATCCAAATAATGAATATTATTTACTGAATATTCCAAGTTGTGTCTAAGTGACAGTATACTACTCAGTTTCTCAACTTCGTAACGATGAAGTAAAAAGGTGATCTAATGGTTGGGTGCCTGACATGCAGAGTAACATCGATTCGTTTCAAAGAGTGTGAAAATGGATATCGGGATAAGTTTTCATCAAAACTAACATCAATTACATTGGTCGTAAACAAGAACTGATAACAGTGGACAAGAAGGCTTTGTTTCTGTGTTTGTAATTCAAAGGAGGCGCTTCAATTGAAATCTTATCACAACGTCTAGCTAGGACGTTTTATACAGGTTGGCCGGTAGTCAGCCAATGTCCAGTCTGAGACTCAAGGATAACCTACCTAAGCTTATCTCTTCATCTTGCATATATAAATTAAACTGTTCCTGTGGAATTAGTTATATAGGATGCACGATTAGGTAGGTGTGTCTTCGGATACAAGAGGATTTATCAGCTTTGTTAGGAAAGGGAGAAGTGAAAGTGGTGAAAAGTTCACTCGTAGCCCATCTAGTCAACACAGGGCATCATCACATAGATGTTAATACAGCTCTCAATATCATTCATCGTGTTACAAAAACGATACCACATGTAGTTCGTCAACATCTGTTCAACATAGCACAGGCTGTCACAATAAGATTGATCTAGCCTGAACTCTGGATTCAGAGAGAACATGTCCAAGTGTTACTTCTCCCTTAGCCTTCAACAAATAACTAAAGGCCACTCTTGCCATCTTATCATTCATTCTGTATATATGTATCATCCTTACAGTTAGTAGATCTTACTGCATTTTGAGGAGGTAACTGCTGGTAACATGACTTGGTTTTACCCTATACAGATACATTTTATAATTGTAGAAGGTGATGAGAGAATTCCGTTGAAAAACAAAACAAACAAACAAAGCTATTCTTCACTTTGATTGTTGTAAACTATCTTATCCACTTTCTCATTTTAATTTTATTTCTTTGAAAAAAAAAAAGGCTATTGCACACTTCACTACTGCTGAACGTGTTTTATCACATCAATTGGATAAAGCTCAACTTGCTGAAACTGCTCTACGAAGACGTTTAATTGACGAAGATAAATTTGTATTCACTCGATCTACTGACTATACTCAATCATGGTATTATCATCAGGATAATAATAATAATAATAATTTTTCTAATAGACGAAATTCAATTGATGAGAATTATGAAGATTCGAAACATCTACTACCTACATGTGATATTGATGAAGAAGTTGAAATTGATACAGATATAGACTTATTACATATGGATGATAGCGTTTTATTAGATGATTTTAATGATTCAGAGAAGGTGATTACTAGCCTGAAAAGTGATTGTTCCCGTGTAAAAGATAAACATAATCAACAGTATACACTTGAAGAAATAGATCATTCACCATTGAATTGTGTTCAAGAGTCATTTCATAGTCAACTGCCTAGTACTACTACTACTACTACTACTACTGCTACTACTACTACCACCAACACTACTACTACTACTACTACAACTGATTACTCTAAAAAGATTTATCCAAATAAACTTGTCATCAATGCCTCTGATATCAATCATTACTGTTGTAGTTGCCATTGTCATAGTGATAAATTTCTATCTGTAGATACGAAGAAGAAAAACAATAATCGAAGTAATAATTTACAGGATCAAAGTAAAATCTGTGAATCAGTGAAAAATTCATGTACAAAAATATCTCTTAGTAGTAGAAGTAATAGTAGTATATCTCAATTCAATTCCAAATGTTTACAAAATCCTATCAAATTAAATGTACCAATGAAATTGAAGATAGATCATCACTTGGAAACAACTGATTATCCTTGTCAAGGAGATTATCAAAGCGAAATAAACAGAAATCAGTGTTTCACTTCAACACAATCAAGTAAGAATATTATTATTGTTTCCCTTGGGTTCCTAGTGGAACATACGGATTCAGTAGCACGTCGCCATTTCACTCTCTTCTCTCCAGTCTTCCCAACCTGGCTCCACGACTGCCCACAAGTTGCTTTCATTTCTTCCTCACACTATCTCATCGATGTCACCCTCAGCTGGGACACCCAACTCATCATTTCCCATCTGGGTTTCACTGAAGTGCCTGACCTGGTGTGTGATGTCCCTGAATGGTCTTCTCAATGCATGCCGAATCCATCTGCACTTCCTTGCAGTGCATATTTGTTGGGTGATAGGTTGTTGCTTCGTTGGTTGGTTGGCTGGTTGGTTGGTTGGTTGCCAGCCAGCCAGCGAGAGTAGCTTGTTGCTTATTCTTTCTCGCCTTCTCATCTGAGCTTCAGTAAGGATCCAGTGTAGGTGGCAGTTGTTGATGAATATCTGTAGTTTGTTGGAAATACGTTTGGTAATGCGCCAATTCTCTGAAGTATCACATAGAAGCAGTGAGTTGATTGACATTGATGTTGAAAATCCGGATGTTGTTGAGGCTTTATGCTGAGTGCAGAAGATGTTGACACTGGTTTGAGGTAAATGAAGGCAGGTCTGTGTTGCTGTGTTTCCGATGGTGGCTGGCTTTGACGTGCTTGTCTGTGCGTGTGCCGCCTGTAGTTGAGTGTTTGCTGCCTAGACGGGTGTAGGTGAAAGAGGCTACTTCGTTTAAGTTTCTCCTGTTGATGGTGAATTGAGTTTGTTGTTGTTGTTGGTGGTGGTGGTGGTGGTGGTGGTTGTGATGGTGTTTGTTGGGTATTTTCATCACCTCTGTCTTCTCTAGGTTCACTTGAAGTGCCGTCTTCGGTGCCCTGCCTGTTCTGTCAACTTGTTAATTTTTGCCTGTATATCTTCTAGTTTGTGTGACATTAGACACAAGTCGTCAGCGAAATCCAAGGATCGAATTGTCCTACCTCTATTGAAATATATGGGCTTGTCTGGAAATGCTTCCATGTTGGTTGAATATTTATTATGAGTTTGAAATAGGATGCAACTCGAGTCAAGCCGGATTCCTCTGCTAACCATGATCAAGTAAAATGTATATGATGGTTTATATGAGGCGTCTACGGAGATGTCTACTTTTTGGTTAGTGTTCTCTGGGTGATTAACGTCGATACTCGAGGACTTTGATATCTCTTTGTTTATTTTATGACAGTCTACAAGTTTTGTCTTGTATTTTCATGGGAAAATTTAAAGGGTTATACAGTACTGTTCGGTTGTATGTTGATAATAACTGACACATTGATAGGGAATTTTAAGCTGATAAAGTGAAGTTCAACGGTTGGGTATCTTACTATGACCCAGGCTTTCGTTTCTACTTCAATAATCAGCGCATTGTATATACTGTACAATTTATGGTACTGGTTGTATGATATTAAGCTGAGAAATTTATGGAATGATGTTGTGTTGGAGTGGTTAATACATGAAATCGTTAACTATGAAGCAATGCTTCACTCTCAGACTGTTTGAATGCTGTCCAGCATCTGTTTCGACTTAAATGATTAGGAAGTCTCATCAGCTCTTATACAGGAAGTTCGCCTTACTCGACTGATAACTACTACCTTGACGTGGTGGTCGGGCTTGTTTATCATAATGACCCAACGAGCTACATTGACTGAAACGCTCTTTCTCTGGAGGTGTTACCATACCAGAAATGTCTGTGAGATCGTGGAGAATTGCTGAACTATGATGGAAGTCCAAGGGCGAAGGTGTACTGCTTACTGGACGAGTGTGACAGCAGTGAGATGTTTCTCATGGATAACCAGAAATACTTTATTTACACTGCCTTCCCTACTTGAAATGGGGATGGGTTAGAAAAAGTTAACTCAAGGTAGTGCACTCCTCCCTGCCCTATCGGCGATATAGGTTTTCTCTATCCGGCGTTACAGCAATCAAATCACATAACAACAATCCTCAAAAGGCTGTATGTGATAGGCTTCGAGAAAATATCCCATGGGCTTTGTAGTCACACAAATTGTTTTCTGTTTCAAATACCTTGAAAAGAAATAGCCTTCATAATGTGAACAGTCGAGAAGTAGCAACCTCCCACATATTTACAATAGTCTGAGTTCACCTCACATTTTAATACAATATTTTAGTTACAGAAAACTATTTTTCTGTACGCTTTTATACTCAGATACTTAGTAACCACGAGTGCCACTTGAATACTAGACCTTAAGTGTTTCTACACCAGTAGTCAAGTTTTTCCGGGGTGTTATCGATTTTTTACTGTATGTTGGAGGTCTGTAATCGAGTATTTTCCCTATCAGTCGAAAGTAATATAGACTCAAGGTTATGGAAACAAGCCTTCTTAACAGCGATTCTAGATTCTAGATACTTGACTCTTTTGATAATTTCTTCAAAATTTTGTAATCATTTGTTTATTTCCCCATTTCAAAGATATTACATAACTTTCCTTTGTCGTATAATTTGTTTAGACCTTGATTAAAAATTACTCTGGAATGTTTTGTTGTTTCTACTGCATATCCCCGTGTGTACAGCTACAAGAATGATTTGGTCGAGATGGCAAATTTTCCTTCTCCGCAATCGTGTATCAACCACTTCACTTACTTGGGAAGTTTCATCAACCAGAACTATTTGCTGACGAAATATCAGTTCGCATACTGAAAGTCCCTTTCGCATTTGCCAATTTGCGTCATCTGTGGCGCTGACTGAAGACATATCCGAATATATCTCTCGGAAATTACAAGGATGCTGAGCTACGCTGCAGTCCGTCCTTTCCCCTTATATGTCTATGAGGCATGATCATATGTGTCCTTGTTGCATTTCTCATGTTTGATAAAATCACCTTGTGAGTGTAGGTCAGGCGAAGGCTCCTACTAGGCAAGACATGCAAGTCGACTGGTGAGGTTTTGAAGTCTCACTGGCTGATGTGGCTTGAACACGTGTCGTGCATGCCAATCCTCCGCCTACCTCAAGTTGTAAGTCAGGGAGATTCGGATTAGTTTGAAAGAGTGTTCAGGATGACCAGACCAAGATGTTGTACCAGTTGATGAAGTCCTTGACTATCTGTCTGAGTCGTATAGGGAGATATGTACTGCCTAATTGGGGCCCCGACCGATAGCTGCTACATTGACGTGGTGGTCGGGCTTGCATATCACAATGACCCAACGAGCTATGCTGGTGGAACGCTTGTCCCCTCGAGGTCCTACCATACCAGAAAGGTCTGTTGGATAGTGGTTAGACGAAAAGCAGTTACCGTTATAGTGTAAATTGCCACACTATAATGGGGGTCTGAGGTCGAAGTCGTACTGCTGCTAGCTGGATGGGGTGTGACAGCAGGAAGGTGTTTCCCTTGGATGACCAGCAGTGCCATGCTGATGCTGCCTTCTCAGTGGAAGGGGGAGGGGGGGTTAGAAAAGGTCGCCCCCAAAAATAACACACTCCACCATACCCCACGGTCTGCCGGGCCGGCGGTGTGGTACACTTGTCGTTTCCTTTCGACCATCTGGCCCCAAAAATACAAAAGTTCAAAATAATCATACTCAAAGGCTTCGTGTGACAGGCCTCAAGCAGATGTCCGATGGGCTCTGCGGTCACACAAATCTCTTTCAGATACCTTAAGAAGAAATAGCCTTTCACGGTGTAGGCAGCCGGGAAGTGTCAACCGCCCTCACGACTCTGTTAGCACTCAAGTTTCAAGTTGGGGTCATCGAAACAAAAGGAATCAGGCGTTGAGAACTCTTGGTGACATGGATGAATATCGGTTAAAATGAAACAGATGTATCCACTCATCCGAATATTTCTCTAGGAAAGGATGAGTATACTACGCTGCTCTGCAATCAGCTCTGTCCTGTTATACGCCTGTTAAAGTAGAAGACATGAACCAGTTACAAGGTTTTGGTCATATATATCTTCTTAGCATCGCCCACGTTTGGTGGAATTACTATGTGAGTGATGTTGAGGTTGTGAACCTTAGTCGACTGAGATGGCTTGGATATGTACTACACATGCCGATTCACTGTTTACCTCAACGTGGTATATTAGGGGAAGCTGGATAAGTTGAACTAAGACATGACACTAGTTCGCGAACTCCTTGACTGTTGGTCTCAGCCGTATGAGGTCATGTAGACTGCCCGGCTGAATGGGGTTCCCGAGACGAAAGAAATCAGTAGTTGAGGACTCCTGGTGACATGGCTGAATATTTTGACTAACCTTGGTTTCTACACTCCTCTTCATACCATACATGTTTGTCTACTTTGTTATGAGTCTTTTTATATCCACTTGTTCTTTACCTACTGCTATGAAGTGTGATAAGCTGAGCCAATGAATTTGTTTGGGATGTTTCACTCTAATTTTTTTCTGTCTGTCTTTTTTCCTTTGAAAAAGTTAATCAATATGAAACCAGCTTATTATCTCTGGCGTTAAGTAGCGCTTTACTTTGCATGACCTACATAATTGATGATAAACAATAATTTAGTACCGGATTATTAACGAGTGATATTCAACGCAAACAACCATATCACCCACCTTGTGGAATCAGCTTTGTAGTTTTTCTACTGTGGTGATAAAATTCATTTTTGTCTCACTTTTGACTCAACAGTCATTTAGTTTACAGGTGGAGTTAACAAAAGCAGAACAATTCCATTATTATGGTTTTCTACTCTTTAAACGTTCAGAAAATCAGTCTTGAAAGCGATGCATTCACATAGTGTAAGTTTCAACCTAATCCAACTTCTTATAGCATTGCGCGTCGAGGTAGGCGGTAGCTAGTCATGCGCGACACATGTCCAAGCCATCTCAGTCGACTAAGGTTCACAACCTCAACATCACTCACATGGTAATTCAACCAAACGTGAGCGATGCTACGAAGACACCTATGGCCAAAACCCCTGTGACCAGTTCATGTCTTGTACTTTAACAGGCGTATAACATGACAGAGTGGATTGTACAGCAGCGCAGTATATATATATATATATATATATATATATATATATCGTTAGCAACGTATCCATTCATGCTGATACAGCTCCCTGAGTAAGTGAAGTGGTCAACACATTCCACCACTTCACTCTGTATCATTAAACTGGGAGTACTTACAGCAGACCAGTCTTGGGGAATCGTCTAAACATACACAGACTTTTTCTCAGCGCGTTCAAAAGATCCTTCATATTCACCCAGGTGGATAATGTCGTCTGCACACTCTAAGTCAACCAGATGACCTCGAGGGAGTAAGTCAATCCTCGTGAAGTCAGACGTCAGACGCAGTTGATGAAATTAAATCAAGGTTTTCAGAAATGTTCTAGGTGTTTTTGGGGTTTCGTTGTACTGTTATACATTTGACATTTAAGTGTTTTAACTGCCCCTCAACCTCCTTGTGTGTGTGTGTGTGTGTGTGTGTGTGTGTGTGTGTGTGTCATTATTTAAGTCTTATTTTGACAGTTTTAACAATGATTTTATGAATTCTATTATACAAACAGCTGATCAGAATGTTGATGAAATGAATATTCCATCAAAGAACATATATTCAAATTCATTGAAATCTACAAATACAAATCGTGTTGAAAGGGATTCTCTGTGTAATTTTGATCCACATACTTCAATCTCTTTATCAACAGTATCAAGTCATGAAACTGTTTGTCCTCTATCAATTGTTACTTCAGATGTTAATATTTGTCAACAAGGATTATTATTTATTCCACAAACTGAAATGAAATCACGTACACCTGGACATGGTGTTCATATGCATGAAAAACTTTCAGCTCGTTCGAAAAGACGGTAAGTTGGTCTTAATGTAATTTAAAACTTGTACACTATCATTATTATTATTTGTCCCTTGGGTTCCTAGTGGAACATACGGATTCAGTAGCACGTCGCCATTTCACTCTCTTCTCTCCAGTCTTCCCAACCTAGCTCCACGACTGCCCACAAGCTGCTTTCATTTCTTCCTCACACCATCTCATCGATGTCACCCTCAGCTGGGACGCTCAACTCATCATTTCCCATCTGGGTTTCACTGAAGTGCCTGACCTGGTGTGTGATGTCCCTGAATGATCTTCTCAATGCATGCCGAATCCATCTGCACTTCCTTGCAGTGCATATTTGTTGGGTGATAGGTTGTTGCTTCGTTGGTTGGTTGGTTGGTTGGTTGGTTGGTTGGTTGGTTGGTTGGTTGGTTGGTTTCCAGCCAGCCAGCCAGCCAGCCAGCCAGCCAGCCAGCCAGCCAGCCAGCCAGCCAGCCAGCCAGCCAGCCAGCCAGCCAGCCAGCCAGCCAGCCAGCCAGCCAGCCAGCCAGCCAGCCAGCCAGCCAGCCAGCCAGCCAGCCAGCCAGCCAGCCAGCCAGCCAGCCAGCCAGCCAGCCAGTCAGCCAGCGAGAGTTGCTTGTTGCTTATTCTTTCTCGCCTTCTCATCTGAGCTTGAGTAAGGATCCAGTGTAGGTGGCAGTTGTTGATGAATATCTGTAGTTTGTTGGAAATGCGTTTGGTAATGCGCCAAGTCTGTGAAGCATCACATAGAAGCAGTGAGTTGATTGACATTGATGTTGAAAATCCGAATGTTGTTGATGCTTTATGCTGAGTGCAGAAGATGTTGACACTGGTTTGAGGTAAATGAAGGCAGATCTGTGTTGCTGTGTTTCCGATGGTGGCTGGCTTTGACGTGCTTGTCTGTGCGTGTGCCGCCTGTAGTTGAGTGTTTGCTGCCTAGATGGGTGTAGGTGAAAGAGGCTACTTCGTTTAAGTTTCTCCTGTTGATGGTGAATTGAGTTTGTTGTTGTTGTTGTTGGTGGTGGTTGTGATGGTGATGGTTGAGTATTTTTATCACCTCTGTCTTCTCTAGGTTCACTTGAAGTGCTGTCTTCGGTGCCCTGCCTGTTCTGTCAACTTGTTAGTTTTTGCCTGTATATCTTCTAGTTTGTGTGACATTGGACAGAAGTCATCGGGGAAATCCAAGTCTTCTAGGTTCTTTTCCTTGGTACAGCCAGCGTATCCCCCTCTTGCACACTATGGTAGAATGTAATATTAGATTGATTCATTTTATTTATATCACACAATGAGTGATACAATATTATCTACTTGATGACGACTTTTTGAGCATGAATTATTACTGCTCATAATCATATCTCAATGTAATCGCACACTACTTTCGAAGTCTCATTTTTATGGTGCTGTCGCCATTGGTAGTAAACGTTTCCGTATCTCTGATATAGGTGTTATGTCATCACTCCTATTACATGTGTTGGGTGTTGGTTGGTGCGATGAAGGAAGATCCAGTAGGCAATGTCTCTCTTTGTCTCCACCTAATTATATTGTTGGATTGAGGTACAGTGGTTTTATTCCACCCATCCTATTGTTTGGTTGTATATTAATGCATATGTGCATATGTCGAGTTCCTTTCTAGGTTATCGATCCTACCGAGGTCTGTCATTCTGCATTTGGCTAACTTCCTATATTCGGCTATTCTAACTACCTCAGTCTGGCTAGTCTGACCTTCGCACTTGACTTAACTCACAGTCATTACATGGAATTTGATAGATTAGATTCTTTTGCTCAATTGGTTCTATCGGATAATTAAGCCAGTCGACAAAGCTTATCTCTGAGTGAGTTTGTAAGTTTAAATGCCACTGTAATTCAAACTTCGTTGAGGTGACGATACTACGTAAAGTTCGGATGTTCATTCCTCATAGGGTAACACAATAGAGACTGGGAACTCCTTTCTACTCGTGTTGTCGTTATTATTCGTACTCGTGTGACCGTTACTATTTCGTTTCTCATGTGTCCGAACGAATTTCTTAATAAACTGCAGAGGATAATTATTAATTATTAACGCTTCTTATGCGTTTCGATTCCTTGTTTTGGTCCTTGAACTGACTAGTCAGTTTTCTACTGCTATCACTTAGACATTTGACTAAACCTGCCTTCACTGGTTGATATTAGATGAAATGACTTGAAGTCTAGATGGCTGTTCGAATCTGTCGACTGAGATGGTTGGGATATGTGTTACGTATGCCCAGTCGCCGATTGCCTCGTCACACAATGTTGGCCGAAATAGGTCCAGGCTGGAAAAAGACTCGAGGCGACCAGACTGAAACATGGCACCAATGTATGAAGTGTTGGTTTGAGCCATATGGGGTGATAGAGACTGGGTGGTTGGGGTTCGTGGGACAAGAGAATTGAGTGGTTGGAGACTGACTCTAGGTAATCACATGGCTGAGGACCGATGTGAGTGGTGCAGATGTATCCCCACACATTATCCTCATCTTCACGACGCTGTACCGAATGTCACTATTTTCTCATTCTTCCTTTCTGTCTTCTCCTACTTCACACTTCTTTTGACTGAATTTCCTTATAATCACCTTCCACTCCACTGCCTTTTACTTGATGTTGTGATATGAGGTATAGCCCCAACTTGGACCGTTACGCAGTGATGCGTGGTCCTATGTTGATATTGACGATAATGATGTGTCGGTTTTCTGTAGACGGTGGGTAGTATCCAAATCACTATCTTTCCTTCGTTTAATTCTACAATCCAACTTGTGTAATTCTCCTTGTAAGTGAATTGAATCACGCCTACTACTGAGTTTGTATGTGTGCGGAAATTGTCGATGTATTTCGATTTGAATACAGTAAATGTGTCATCCACATACCCCCACCATATTTTTGGTGTAGGACTTCAGATGTTTTACCATCACTGCCTTCGTAGCATAGGGTGTGTTACGTGGTGTCACCAGGTGAATAGTGCAAGAGTCAAAAGTAGGGTTGTAGGGAGGAGACGTAAGATGGTTGATGTAGTTGTGAATCTTCATTTCCTGAGATAACTAGCTTCGGCGTGTTACGTGTGCCTGACTACCATCTCACTCTTCGCACTATCTTGAGTGGGATAACGTTCAGGGTGGCCAGACTAAAAGATGTCATCAATGTATGAAGTCACTGACTATTGGTTTGAGCCATTTAGGACGATGTAGAGTGGGAGGTTGGGGTCCGTGGGACAAGAAAAGCCAGTGGTTGGCTCAGAATCGATGTCAGTCGTACATATGTATACACACATTATACTCACCTTAGCTGATGTACTTAGTCTCATTTCTTTTCTCACTCCTCCTTCCGATTTTTCTTCCCTTTTTCATCTTCCATTTTACCGCCTTTTTACTTGTTGTGGTGATATGAGGTGTAGCGGTAACTTAGACTATTACGTAGTAATGCCCGTTCTTATATGTTGATTTTGATGATGATAAAAATCAGCGTAGAACCTCACTCATATGTGCATTAACCTAAGTTGACACACTTCACAGTAGTACACAAAGAACAGGTAGATAGAAAAGAAGTCATATCAAAGTAGGCAAAATTGTGTGAGGCAGTAAATAAATTGAATAGGAAGGTTAGCACGAGTATTCAAGCTCTAGAAGATGTGAAGTAGTGAAAATACCTGTGACCTTATGATCGATTTGCAGCCATTTTACCAGGAGTCCTCAACGACTGATTCCTTTCGTCTTGGCGAGTCTCAGTCAGTCAGGTAGTCTATATCTCCTCACGCTGCTCAGACCAACATTCAGGTAGTTCATGCACTACTCCCACATCTTAGTCCAATTTAATCTAACGTCCCCTAATATGGCACTTATAGGTAGGTGGTGACTTGACTTGGCGTGGTCAATACATGTTCAAGCGTTTTTAGTCGATTATTGTTGACAACCTCATCATTCGACTTATTTGTCTTGCCTAGTAGAGTAGTCTTCGCTTGATCTCAACGCTGCCTACACGGTTATTTCATCAAACATGTTTTCTACTTTCAACGGCATATTTTACAACCGCATTACAGGACCGAACAGAGTACAACGCAGCGCATTATATCCATCCTTTGATGGTGCCACAGATGGCACTTGACACTATTCGATTGAATAGTACAGTTAAAATTCGAAAATATTATTCGCCTGCATACATAATAACTTCAGGTATTTTAGGCAAAAGGAACCATGAACTCTACTAAACACTTGCTAGCTATCTCCTAAAATGTTTTCGAAAATAGTTGTTGTAACAACTGCATATTCCGGACGAGGAGAGAAATTTATTCTACCTGAGTAACTAGCTACCTCAATCCGATATTCGTTGCTGGCAAGTAATTTTACTATAAATCTAGAAGCAAAGGACATCTATTTCGTCTCCTTGGCTGTACGGACTCTAACCTTTACTTCAAGATGATGAGATTTCCTGAAGTTCTAATGAAAGAGTCGTTAGCGGTGAGGTAAACCAATTTGGAAGTGAGGACATATACTCATAGAGAGGATTGTATAAAGGTTACGCTGTGACGTAAACTGACGGAAGTCGATAATGTGGACTGTTGTATTCCGACGCAATGGCTTAATGGTGACATGCTGGCTACTAAACCTGAAAATCATGGGTTCGACCCCTGGCTGGATCTGAAGAGGCTCATACTAGTTGAACGAAATAGCTGTCCAGTGTTCGCAGGTTTACAATGTTTCTTCAAACTGACTTCAGTCTGTAGTGAGTGGTATCATGTCACCTCTATAAGTATGTCGAATTGTATCACTCTGTTGATTCTACTAATTAGACGTTCATAACATTCCCATGTTTGTGCTCATGTATACTGACTTATATTGGTAGTTATTACGTAATATCAAGGTTTGATTTCCACTAAATCCAACGAGTAGTTTTCCATTTTCTTTATATCCTTGTAGAACTGCAAATTCTATACAAGATATTGAGGAGAAACAAGCTCGTGCCCGGGTATTACGTCAGCAGCACCTTCTTGAACGTACAGAACGTGTACATGAATTGAGCAAAAAGGTAAGTCTGTTTGTGTCTGTGTGTGTGTTGTCAGTATTGATCAGGCTTGTTTCTTAATTCATTGTAAAGAGAACACAAAATTTTTATACTTGAATACATTTTTTTTCCTTATAGAAATATCAGACAAGAGAGGAGAGGAATGTAAAAAAATAAGCAGGATATAGTGAATTGTTTAAACTTCAGTAGTACTCATCATTGTGCTGCACTGACCTTGAGTCTCATTGGGAACAACAGCACTCATTGAGGTGAGGGTACATCCAGCTGACGACACCTAAGTAGGACGAAACACACGTTTTGGATTCCCTTTGTCAGTCATCAAACAGACCAAAAAGAGATTTAGTTGATTGGTATTAAGGAGAGTTAACTTTTAATCGATGAATGGTGGATTCAAGCCCTGTTTTACCTACCGAAGTTTTTGGTAGCCAGGTAGTAATAAAACTAGACGCCACACAATAGGTGTGTGTGAATGTGAACAAGGTTTCTGTGAGTGTATTTCAGTTCGAATCGTCAGCTGAATACCTCTACATCACTAATTATATATAAACCACATGTAACGTAGACTGAGACATCCATTACGTGTAACAATATAGAAAGGAACAACCTTTTTAAGGGTCAAGTGGTAGAACGTAGAAGTGGATATTCAAACTGAATAGCTTGATTGCATAATCAATTAGGAACTGGGATATAGTAATGGAACCTCGCCTGGTTAACTAGTTTACTAGTTACTAGCCGGTCCTAAGCCCGGTAAAGAGGGAAGGTTGGGCATAGGGCTAGCAACCCTACCCCGTAAAACAAATCTAACCGCTAAAGAAACTTCAAAGCACAAACAAAATATAAAAAATGAAAACAAACTTATTCCCCGCTGGAATCGGAGAGGCGAAATGACGCCAGTTGGTGAAAGCCTTCGGGAAGTCAATTGGCCGATGTGTCTTCTCTCGATGAAAGCGAAAGTAAACGTGGGGACATGGGATGTCCACACGATGTTTGAACCCAGTAAGGCAGCCCAGATTGCAAGGGAGATGAGAAGGTATCACATCGAAGTGCTTGGGATTTGCGAAAGCAGATGGAATGGGAGTGGACTCTCCAAACTGTCAACTGGAGAATCAATAATCTACTCCGGTCACCCAGACGCCAACCACGAGCACACTGAGGGAGTGGCTATCATGATGTCCTCAAGAGCATCGAAGGCTCTCATGCAGTGGGAACCAATCTCCTCAACGATAAGGATCATGACAGCAAGATTCAACTCAAAAGGAAGGAAGGAAGGTCACAATCATAGAATGTTATGCACCTACAAATAATGCAGACCAAGAGAAAAAGGAGGAATTCTACAGACAACTTCAATCAACACTGGACAAGACGTCAGTTGGCGATATCAAACAACAACAACAACATCAAAATTCTAATGGGCGACATGAATGCCAAATTGGGAGGAGACAACACAGGAAGAGAACTAACCATGGGTCGAGAGGCGCTAGGTGAAATGAATGAGAATGGAGAATTGTTTGCAGAATTCTGCGCATTCAACGATTTGGTGATTGGAGGCAGTGTGTTCAGACACAAAGATATCCACAAAGCGACATGGATTTCACCAGATGGACACACTAAAAATGAAATCGACTTTATCTCAATCTCAAGAAAATGGAGACGCAGTCAGCCTACTGGACACAAGGTCAAGAAGAGGAGCAGATGTAGGTTCAGACCACTATCTAGTGCAAGGAACCTTCGAAATCAAGTTAAAAGCCTTCAAGGAAGGTGGTGATAGACCTCAATTCAAGTACAACACTCGGAAACTGAAGGATGAAACTACAAAGGAGATCTTCAAGGCAGCCATCAAGACAAAATGGGAGACATCGAGCAACACCCCTGAAGAAACCTGTGTGGAAGAACACTGGAAGTCTTTGAAAGCTATGTGGAAAGAAACCTGCACAACAGTATTAGGAAGGAAGGAGAAAGAAGACAAGGAATGGATCTCGACGGATACCTGGAAGCTGATAGAGTAGGGAGAGGAGGATGGTGAAGCCGAAGATAAACCAGTACAGTGCAAGGATGCTCAACGACAAGAGGAACTGAGCACAATGTATAAAACACTGGACAAAGAAGTGAAGAAGAGTGCACGCAAAGACAAAAGACACTTCTACGACACACTGGCAAGTGAAGCAGAACAGGCTGCAGGTAAGAGAGACCTGACAACATTGTATCAAATAACCAGGTTGCTATCAGGGAAGAGACCAACACAGATGAAACCAATAAAAAATGAAGGAAATTTAATTACGAAAGAAGAGAAACAGAGGAAACGATGGGCCGACCACTTCAAGAAGCTCTTGAATCGACCACCACTTGCACTTCGTCCAGAAATACCACCTGCAGCCGCTGAATTACAAGTGAACATAAATCCCCCAACGAAAATGGAAGTCCTGAACGCCATATAGCTACTGAAATGCGGGAAAGCAGCAGGACCAGATGGAATACCGCCAGAAGCACTGAGAACAGATGCAGAGACAACAGCGGACATGCTCACACCACTATTGCAGAAGGTGTGGAAGGAAGAGAAGGTACCTGCTGATTGGAAGAAGAGTTACCTTGTCAAACTGCCGAAGAAGGGAGACCTCAGTGCTTGCAAGAACTGGCGCGGAATCACTCTCCTGTCCACCCAAGGCAAGCAAAATATTATTCCGCATCATCCTGGAGAGGCTAAAGGATGCACTGGATTCAAAACTACGAGTGGAACCGGCTGGCTGGATTCAGGAAGTACAAATCATGTGCCGACCAAATTGCAACGCACTCTACGCATCATCATAGAACAGAGCATAGAATGGCAATCAGCTCTCTGCCTCAACTTCATCGACTTTGAGAAGGCCTTTGACAGCGTCGACCGAGAGGTAATCTGGAAACTGCTTCATTACTACGGAGTACCGCAAACCTTTATCCGCCTCATTCAACAACTATATGAAGACGCCACATGCCAAGTAATTCACAATGGGAAGCTCAGCTCAGTGATGCCTTTTAAGTGAAGACAGGAGTGAAACAAGGTTGCCTACTATCCCCCATGATATTCTTGATTGTGGTGGACTGGATCATGCAGCAAACAGTGGGGAGCGAGAAGAGGGGGATACACTGGACGACGGAAAAGAACCTAGAAGACTTGGATTTCGCCGATGACTTGTGCCTGATGTCACACAAACTTTAAGATCTGCAGGCAAAAACTAACAAGTTGATAGAAGAGGCAGCGAAGACGGGACTTCAGGTGAATATAGAGAAGACAGAGGTGATGAAGATACCGCACCATCACCATCAACAACAACAGCAAACTGCAATCACCGTCAACGGGAGAAACTTAAAGGAAGTAACCTCCTTCACTTATCTAGGAAGCACTGTTTCAACTACAGGCGGGACGGACGAGGACGTCAAAGTCAGAATCGGAAAAGCAAGACAGGTGTTCCTTAGCCTGAAACCAGTGTGGAGATCTTCTGCACTCAGCATGTGGAACAAGATACGGATTTTCAACACCAACCCAGTCAAGTCAGTGCTTCTGTATGGTTCAGAGACTTGGCGCGTTTCTAAAGGGATTTCCAATAAACTACAGACATTCATCAACAACTGCTTACGCTCTCTACTGAAGATCAGATGGATTGCCAGAAAGAATAAGCAACAAGGAACTCTGGGAACGAACCAACCAAGAACCTATCACCCAACAAATATGCACTGGAAGGAAGTGGAGATGGATTGGCCATGCACTGAGAAGGCCGACGGAGGACATCACGCGTCAGGCCCTCGAGTGGAATCCCCATGGGAAGCGACGAGTTGGACGTCCGAGGGTGACATGGAGGAGGTCGTGCGAGGAGGAAATGAGAGGTTGTGGGCTGTCGTGGAACCAGGTTCAGAAGATCTCAGAGAACAGAGGTCACTGGAGGCGTGCTACTGAAGCCCTATGTTCCACTAGGAACCCAAGGGACTAATAATAATAATAATAATATAGTAATGGAGTCTAAAGAATCATGTGGATTTCAGATGGAAAGGTAATAATAATAATAATATTGACATTGTGGTGAGATGTCCATCCCTTTGACCTGTCTGAAGATCGAAGAACATGGACGTATGCCTCCAACATTTATGTGTTCGGGTGATATAACAGTTCGCTTCTGTGGCCAGTCTGGAATATGCTCTAAGGCACTTTTGCTTGAGCCTATGAATTCTTAGGTATGTCTCACCACACTTACAGTTGAATTAGTAGATTCAGTGTGATGTGATATTGTTGTTCATGTGCTGTAAGAGTATGGGATAGGATACCGGCTTAACGGTTTCTCTTAGTTGGAACCTAATTGTGGCATTAAATCTCTGCCTAGGTAGGTGCCCAACTACACTGAGAATTGAAGTTCTATCTTTCTTTGATCGTTGCAATACACATTCAGAGAGATGCTGATGACTATGGGTTTATGTCAGCCTTATTAAGTCCTTCGGATGGAATTTTCCAGTCATCGCTCAACCATCTCTAACACTATTTTTTATTATTGATACTTGTAATTCCTTGCTGTCATTCTTTATCGATTTAATCGACTGACTTCTATGGGCACATGGGCTCCCAAGCGGACCCCTGAATATTATCTACTTATTGATCATGTTATGATTTGCTTGGTTGATGAAGCTAGCAGTGGAATGCAGGCAGTATCGATCGCTTTGATGCAGAATAACAACGGTGAATTACAAGTATCACTAAACAATTATGACTGACGTTCATCACACAAGAGGTGGTTCTCGTGCCCCAGTGGCCTTGCGTAGATAATCTTTTAGCGTTGGGTTCAAGTCTTAGTGGGATGCAAGGAACGTGGGTCCTGGATTTCTCTCCTAGTCATGAATATCCCCATCGTGTCAAGGCATCCGTAGAGGTCGAGTAATTCGACCCTATTTAGCAACGACATTTGATTAGCTTACTTTTAGCTCATGATATAGCGCAACCGCCACCCAATGTCATCGTTGAGTAACTATCCTCATGACTATCAGGCTTTACCCCCATCGGTCACGACTTCTCATTGGAACTTTGGGACTACCTCTCGAAGCTAGTCACCAATGAGCACCAACTTTCATCCATCAGTATCGTTTTTCTTCTTTTCATGACATTTGAATAGAAATTTTTCTGTGTATATCTATCTACTTATTCATTGATTTCTAGGTTGATGAAGTTCACCTACAAAAGCGACTACTGTTACATCAACGACGTTCTTGCCTAGAAAGACGTCTACATGCTGCTGAACGTAAGCGTCAAGCTGAATTGAAACGTAGAGTACTTAAAGCACACGATGAAGAGACGAAAGGGAAAGAGATTGCATTTATACAAGTAAGAATTTATTGTAATGATGAAATAGTCTACTGAGTAATATGTTCTGTTTGTTTGCGTGTGTGTTTGTGTGTGTGTCTTCCCCTCTCCCTCTCCCGTCCAAATAAGGGAATATTGTTGGCTGACATATTAACATTACCATAGTGAATTGGATTGTTTTACACAGGATTCAAATTTCATCTATTCTTCTTCAATTATCTATTCTGTTATAACCTAGACAGGATTGTGGAATATATTTTTGTTATCGTTTATTCTTTCTGTGGGCGTTAGATATGTTAAATGAAAAGCCTTGGCAAAAGGGTTCAAGCGACCGTACACTTTGATGCATGACCCCCTAGTGCATGAGTTTACATATTTACTGACAAGTTACACAAGTTTTCTATATAGAAGGCAATTTTCTTATTCTCTTGTGAATTACATGGTTACTGAATCTTTATTTGTGTGACTTTACTAATTTCTCAACACCAATGTCAAGTCAGTGCTGCTATGTGATGGTTCAGAAACTTGACGCGTCATGAAAAGCGCTTCCAAAAATCTGCAAACATACATCATCAACAGCCGCCTACGCTCACTTGATACTAAAGACCAGATTGCCAGAAAGAATAAGCAACAAGGAACTCTGGAAACGAACGAAGCAAGAACCTATCACCCAACAAATATGTAGAAAAAGAAAGTGAAGATGAATTGGGCATACACTGAGAAGGCAGACTGGGGACATCACGCGCCATGCCAGGCCTTCGTGTGGAATCCAAAGGGGAAACGACGAGTTTGGCATCCGAGACCAGGGTGATATGGAGGAGATCATGTGAAGAAGAAATGAAAGGTAATGGGCTGTCGTGGAGCCAGGTTGAAAAGACTGTAGAGAAGAGAGTGCAATGGAGGCGTGCAACTGAAGCCACTAGGAACCCGAAGGAAAAATAATAATAATTAAGGGTAGCGTGTACTGCGCAGCAATCCGTTCTCTTCTACTCTATGGTTGTGAAACATGGCCATTGGAGGTGGAAGACATGAGAAAGCTTCTAATGTTTGACCACCGTTGCCTTCGTGGTATAGGCCGTATTCCGTGGTGTGACCACACCACGTGAGTAACGCAGAAGTCAAGTGTAGAGTTTAGGAGAGGGAGAAGATGTCAGTTGACGATGTTGTGAACCTTCATGAACTAAGATGCCTGACTCGCACGTGTTACGTATGCCTAGTCACCGTCTGCCTTATCACATAATGTTGGCCAAAGTAGGTTCAGGCTGGAGAAAGGTTGGAGGCAGCCAGACCAAAAAGTGTCATCAATGTATGAAGTGTTTGACTGTTGGTTTTGAGCCATGTGGGGCGATGCAGCCTCGGTGGTTGAGTTTGATGGGACAAGAGAACCCAGTAGTTAGAGACTGACTCCAGGTGATCACTTGGCTGAGAACTGATGTCAGTGGTACAGACATATACTTACATTATCCTCATGTTAATGTTATGCCGAATCTCACCGTTTTCTTATTCTTCCTTTCTCCCTTTCCGTACTACATATTTCTTCTGACTGCATTTTCTTTCCTTCATCTCCCACTTCATTGTCTCTTTACTTGGTGTACTGATATGAGGTGTGGTGGCAACTCGGAGCGTTATGCAGTAATGCCTGGTCCTATCTTGATAGATGATGATGATGAATGATAAAGCTATTGATTTAAAGCGGAAAACGGGCTTTTAAATTTTGGGCGGAACTGTTGCCTAGTGGAAGAGAATGTTTTAGATCAGTAGTTTTTACTCAACCAATTTAATATAGCAAAATCTGTAACTGGGTAATATTAATGGGTAAAGTGTGTTGCTATGATTAATTAATAAACATATGAAAGTGGATGAAATTTATCAGCTAGCAACGTGTACTCACTTTTACACTCCTTATAATGTGATATTATCAGTCTGTAGAAGTACATGATCAATCAAGTGATTTCACTGTTTATTATTATTTGTCCCTTGGGTTCCTAGTGGAACATAGGAATTCAGTAGCACGTCGCCATTTCACTCTCTTCTCTCCAGTCTTCCCAACCTGGCTCCACGACTGCCCACAAGTTGCTTTCATTTCTTCCTCACGCTATCTCATCGATGTCACCCTCAGCTGGGACACCCAACTCATCATTTCCCATCTGGGTTTCACTGAAGTGCCTGACTTGGTGTGTGATGTCCCTGAATGGTCTTCTCAATGTATGCCGAATCCATCTGCACTTCCTTGCAGTGCATATTTGTTGGGTGATAGGTTGTTGCTTCGTTGGTTGGTTGGTTGGTTGGTTGGTTTGCAGCCAGCCAGCCAGCCAGCCAGCCAGCCAGCCAGCCAGCCAGCCAGCCAGCCAGCCAGCCAGCCAGCCAGCCAGCCAGCCAGCCAGCCAGCCAGCCAGCCAGCCAGCCAGCCAGCCAGCCAGCCAGCCAGCCAGCCAGCCAGCCAGCCAGCCAGCCAGCCAGCCAGCCAGTCAGCCAGCGAGAGTAGCTTGTTGCTTATTCTTTCTCGCCTTCTCATCTGAGCTTGAGTAAGGATCCAGTGTAGGTGGCAGTTGTTGATGAATATCTGTAGTTTGTTGGAAATGCGTTTGGTAATGCGCCAAGTCTCTGAAGCATCACATAGAAGCAGTGAGTTGATTGACATTGATGTTGAAAATCCGGATGTTGTTGAGGCTTTATGCTGAGTGCAGAAGATGTTGACACTGGTTTGAGGTAAATGAAGGCAGGTCTGTGTTGCTGTGTTTCCGATGGTGGCTGGCTTTGACGTGCTTGTCTGTGCGTGTGCCGCCTGTAGTTGAGTGTTTGCTGCCTAGATGGGTGTAGGTGAAAGAGGCTACTTCGTTTAAGTTTCTCCTGTTGATGGTGAATTGAGTTTGTTGTTGTTGTTGTTGGTGGTGGTTGTGATGGTGATGGTTGAGTATTTTCATCACCTCTGTCTTCTCTAGGTTCACTTGAAGTGCCGTCTTCGGTGCCCTGCCTGTTCTGTCAACTTGTTAGTTTTTGCCTGTATATCTTCTAGTTTGTGTGACATTGGACAGAAGTCATCGGGGAAATCCAAGTCTTCTAGGTTCTTTTCCTCGGTACAGCCAGCGTATCCCCCTCTTCTCGCTCCTCACGTTCGTCTGCTGCATGACCCAGTCGACCACAGTCAGGAATATCATAGGTGGTAGTAAGCAGTCTTGTCTTGCTACTGTATTCACTTCAAATGGATCACTGAGTTTTCCTTTGTGAATTACTTAACATTTGGCGTTTTCATATGGTTGTTGAATGAGAGATTACACTGAAAGTATCCTCTATTCAACTAAAGATTTGATACCCACTCTTTCTAATTGGATTATATCAAGAAATAAGGTAATAAGTACAACTAGCATATTATCGTAAATGTTTCCTCATATTATCTATTTTCTGATATATATTTCATTCCATGAGTGATCTGTTGCACCAACATACGGGGTTGAACGTGTTAACTACTTCAATTACTCAAGGAGTGTGTTGAGTTCAAATAAGTTGGTTGTAGACGAAATCGCAGTTTCGATTGAAAATGTTCATACGTTCAACCTTATCCACCTCAAAACCAATTTTGGCACTAACAAGACATTCAACTGTCTGTAACTGTGTGGGAATACTGCCTAACACTTTTCATCCTTCCCTCTCGTAACACTGTAAGACGTGACTATTGAAAGTAGATAATGAAAAGATTTTGATATACGCTTCTTTAAAGCTCCATATTGATCGTGTACGATGCGACCTCAGTATAGAACCATATTAAAGTCACACGTAGGCCACTAAGCAAAGGAAGCTAGCCAATCAATCAAATTATGAACCTTCATCGATAAAAATAGCTTCAACATGTATTGTGCACGTCGAGCGATCACCGAAGTTGAAATATACTTGAAAAAGGCTCAGAGTGACTAGACTAAAATATGGCACTAGTCAATGAAATGTTTAACTATTGATCTGAACGATATGTGTAAACGGTCTGTTTGAGAGGTCCTCGAAACAATATGGCTGAGAATCGGTCATAGTGACGCAGATATATTTACTCCTTGACGTCTACTTAGTTTATTCTTTGCATACTGCTGTTAAAGTGTGATCATTTGTACTGATTTACTTCTGTGGGAGGTTCTATAATGATTCCGTATGTCTATCTGGTGAGTATTTCGTTTTAACACTAGATGACTTTCTGTCAGCCAACTTCAAGCATCTAGTATAATTTAACTACACTATCTGATATTGTATTATTTTTAGACACTTGAAGCAGAACAAAAACAGCACAGTATTCTGACTAAACATGAAGAGAGTCGTGCACGTCTACATGAATTGGCAATTGAACGTCAAAAACGTTCAGAAGAAAAATTAGGCAGAGAGGAAGCCGCTAAAGTAATTTAAGTATTTTTTATGTATTTTAATTTCAAATTTTTCTTTGTATATTGTTCGACCTATTCGGCCCTGTATAACGCCAGTGGTTAAGTGGGTAACGCTGTGTAGTTTGATGCAATAAGTACTGGAAATAACATCACTCATCGAAGTGCAGATACATCCAGCTGACGAGTCGCAAAATGAGACGAAACACGCGTTCTGGATTCCTCTGATAGTCACTAGGATTAATATAATGTCAGACAATACTGATTTCTAATATCGTGATTGGTATTTGTAGATCTACTTGTGAAGGTTCTTGTTTTATAGAGTGAAGGTTTACCTGCCAGACTGGACATCATCTCCAGTGAAGCTTTATGACATAATGACGCAGTTGTTGGTAAGTTAGTGTAATGAAAAAGGTTCCTGTTAGTGCATTAAGCCACATCATTCTTAAGAGACTAAAAAATGCTCTGCACTCAAAATTACGACTGGAACAGGAAATAAATCATGTGCGCATCAAATTGCAACGCTACGCTACGGATCATCATAGAACTGGGCATAGAATGCCAGTCAACTCTTTACCTCAACTTTATCGATTTTGAAAGGCCTTCGATCGATACGTCGACCGAGAATTAATTTGGCAGCTGCTCCAACCAACACTACAGTTTTAGTACCATAAACTTTTATCAACCTCATTCAACAGCAGCTATATGATGATGATGATGATGCTATATGCCGAGTAATTCACAACGGAAAGCTCAATGATACCTATAAAGTGAAGACAAGAGTAAGACGACGAGTTTGCCACCTACTATCACCGATGATCTTTCTGATTGTGGTCGACTCGACTGGACCGGATCATGCAAAAAATACTGAGGAGCGAGAAGACGGGCATACGCTGTTTGACCGATAAGAAGACCGTAGAAGATCTGGATTTCGCCCATCATGATTTATGTTAAATGTTTTACGTCACACAAACTCGAAGATGTACAGGCGAAAACTAACAAGTTGGCAGAAGAGGCAGGGCAGCGAAGACGCGACTTCCTTCAGGGGAACGTAGAGAAGATGGAGGTGATAAAGATACCTAACCAACAACAACAATCACCATCAACAGGAGAAATCTAAACGAAGTTGTCTCTTTCACCTGCCTACCTACCTACCTACCTACCTACCTACCTACTATGCAGCATCGTTTCAACTAAAGTTGCTGGTAGCAACACAGATGAGGATGTGAAAGCCAGAATCAGAAAAACGGCAATACAGACCTTCGTTAATCTGAAATCAGTATGGAGATATTCTGAACTGCACTGCACTCAGCATAAGAGACGAGATCCGGATTTCGAACAATAAGTCAGTGCTTCTATTTGATGGTTAAGAGAATTAACGCGTTACAGAAAACATTCCCAACAAACTGCAAGCATGCATGAACAGCTGCCGTCTACACTGAAGATCAGATGAGATGGCCAGAAGGAATAAACAACAAGGAACTCTGGCCTGGCAACGAATCAACCAACGATTCAAGAAGCTATTGCCCAGCAAATATGCAGAAGAAGTGGGTAGAGTGGAATTGGACATGGACTGAGAAGACGGTTTGGGGACATCACGCTTCAGACCAAGTCGTCGAGTGAAAGTGAAATGGGAAACGACGGATTGGGTGTCAGAGGGTGAGATGAAGAGGATGATGTGAAGAAGAAATGAAAGGTTGTGGGGTGTAGGGGAGCCTAGTTGGAAAGACTGAAGAGAAGGGAGTGAAATGGCGACGTGCTACTGAAGCTCTATGTTCCACTAGGAACCCAAGAGACAAATAATAATAGTAATCTAAGTGTAGTTGTATTCCTATAACCCATAGCACATAAATACATTTCTCATTGTGACTTCCAATCTAACTCGATTTGTATTGACCGTATTTTTTTGCTTACAAACTGTCGTTTTTTTCTATGATAAGTTTCCATATAATATCTGAGTATATGATACAGAAATGTTCTGTGTCCCTTCATTGTAACTGTGAAGTGGAGTCATTGAAGGCAGAGGATTTATAAAGCTTTCTACGGATACTGGATTGCCATTTTCTTAGTTCCATCATTTATATTCAGTTAAATCATCATGTGAGTAATATAATGCCTAAATGTAGAATGTTACATAAGCGACACAAGTAGATCGTTGAACTTGTAAGTAAAATGATGGAGTGACCAATAATTATAATAACGAACGATACAAACACGATGAGACACTTAAACTGGACACGAATAACGACTGTTCTCTTGTAGAACATATTCACTGAGCTTTGAAAATCAGAAGACAAGGTTTTCATGAACATATAAAACCATTAGGTTAAAAGTTAAATGACTTATTCTGATTGGTCAACTATAGGCTCGAATTTAACCAATCAGGTTTTTCCTAACCACATATTAAAACAAAAGTTGATGGATGAAACTTCTACCTCATTGGCCAATAAATTAAAATGCTAATTTCTGTTTAGGCTTCTTTCTATCAGTCAATGTTCAATGTTTTAGATAGCTTAGGCATGATATACTCTTGCTTAAGCTATTATTCACTCCACCACACCAGTTTAACTGAAGTTGGATAAGTTAAGAGTGTTCAGATTACAATTGACATCAGTGGCTGAGATTATGCAGGCTAGGGTTCATAATCATCAATCAGTCAATATTAACATGCAACATGGCAATACTGCGCAACAGTCCAGCTTATTACACTTCACACTTTTACGTTAAGATAAAAGGCATCAAGGATGTATTGTCATACCAATAATTTCTAATGTTTTTTAAATGAATATTTCCCCCCCCCCCTTCTTTTTTATTGTATAGATTCGTCGAAGAGCTTTAGAAGCATCACGTAGAGCTAAACTGGATGCTTTACAGGCTAGATGGGAAACTAGAGCACAACAATTAGCCTCACGAGCTGAATTAATGGAACATTCACGTAGAGCTGCAGCTCGTGCTAAAGAACAATATCGTGAGATTAGAATGGCCACTTTAGAGGAGCAACAACGTGCACATATTGAACAGTTACGCTCTAAAATTCAGCGTAAAGTAAGTTTTCAGTTCATTTCATAGTTGTTTTTTTTTTACAATATTCATAGTTTAATAGACTTTTCTAGCTGATTAATCTAGTCTAATTTGGATGGATTTATGTATTTATGCATATTTTCTAGGTTTTTCGACGAGACTTTTTTTATATTTAGAGGTAGGTAAATTCGGCTGATGAGTGCTAAAATGAATGAAACGCATAACCTGAATTCCATCGCCAGCCTATCTCCATCAATCATGTCAAAACTAGGAATATTGATGCATCTTCACGGGAGCCCATGTGTCCATCAATGCGGTCAAGTCAGAGATGGATATGTACATTTAATATTGAATCTTTTTTTCCCATTTGTTTGTAACATTTTTGTGTAATTAACTATAGCTATGGCTATGTCATATATTTCTTTAGGTTTACTTATATGACCTTCTGAGTTCCTCTCGTTCTCAAGTTTTTCTCCTGCATAGGTTATCATTTATTACTATTAGAACATAAACATGGTACAGCGAAGGTACTAAAAAATGCGCCATACAAAATAGTTTATGTTGAAATTCATATCTTATATAGCAGCTAGGGTACTTACCTGGCGCTCAGATCGAAGCAGGTGGTTGTCTTTTAGGGGACCACTCCTCGAGTCCAATTCAATGGAGCAACATCAGGAGTTGTATTCCTATAAAAATTTTCTTGACCACACAGTAACATGAAACAGAAATTGACATACAAATACTTCCTGTCTTAACGGTTGATGACGTAAAATGTTGATTTTCATTTAGATAGTTTTTCCTATCAAGATGTCTAACCTTCCAGTGTACCAACATTTCTCGTGTACAGTTTCTACACTATTTGAAGCATAAATCAAAGAGACATGTCGAGTGACTGTAGAATTCAAGCAGACCGTTGGTATTTTATGCTCTAGACATGGAGCTACAACTAACATGTGACTGATGACAGTATTGCTTTCCATTTCTCTTATTACTTCATCCCAACCTTTGGCTTAGATTTAAAGTTAAAAATGGATAGTGGCTAATAATAGAAACCACCATAGACGTTTCGTCCTATTTGGGACTTGTCAGCTGTATGCACCTGGCCTCCCTCCTCCATGTGTAGATGGTGTCCCAACCAATAGTCAAACTGAGGAGGAACCGCTGCAAACACCAAAGCGTTATCTACTAGACCACTGAGGCATGATAACCATTGTTTGTATGATGATTATAAGATAGTTTAGATTTTAGACCGTGTAATTTTGTATCACTGATTGGAATGAATCGATCGTTTAGTATTGCTCAACCAGTTCGGTCTAAATGACAACGGGTAGTTTTTAAAAGTCATTCTGTCTAGAATTCTTCACAGAGTGACTTCATTAACATCTTTAAAAGAGAATATTTCTTAGTTTATTTTCTTCCACCTACCTTTTTTCTCTCCCTCTCCCTTATAGCAAGCAGAATCTGAACGGCGTCATCAGGAATCATTACGGGAAATTAGTCGTAAAGCCTTTGAAATGTCTGTACTTACGCATACCGGTGATGATTCATTAACTGTCCCAGGAATTGAACCGTATCCTATACAAAAATGGTGTAAAGCATGTCAAGTTATGGTAAGTTGTTGTGTATATGCTCCGTATTGATATATTACTAATATGGACATCGATATCAACTCAATGGTTCATTTGAAATAGTTTACAAAATATCACTACTATACAAACTTGGAAATTATGACTCAGTAGTTTAGACAAATGCCTACCGATCAAATAGGTCATGAGTTCGAACCCCGCCCCGCCTACCGAGGTAGTTTGGGTAGCCAAGTAATAAGTAGTATTGTTAGTAACCTTCACACAAAAACTGTGTTGTTCATTACTGTCTACTGCATGGATTTGAATAAGGTGGCTGTGAGTTAGTTTTGTTCGTCAGTGTGTATAAGGGGAGGGGGGAAATAGAATTTACGACTCCTGGTAATTTACTCATTTATCACTCATACATGAATGTTGTGACCACGGAATATGGTCTATACTGCGAAAGCAGCAGTGGTCAAACACTTGAAGCCGTCTCATGTCTTCCACACTCAATGATCATGTTTAACAGCCATAGAGTAGAAGAGAGTGTACTGCTGTACTGCCAATCGAGCCTTTTGTATCCGTGCAGAGATCTCATCGGCAACTGCCTCAGCAGGGCTGATCCTACTTCCCAGGTAAGTGAAGTGGTCGACACACTCAACCACTTCACCCTCTATTGTTAGCTGCGGCACCGCTGAAGACCAGTCCTGGAGCAACAATTTCATTTACGTGATGAGAACCGCATCCCAAACATTCTCAAATTCCTACTCAAAGTGTTCAGAAGACTCTGCATCTTGTCAGTGTCTCCACCTAACAGGACTATGTTATCTGCATATTCTAGGTCTGAAGAAAATTCTCCTGTGATTAGGTCAACCTCTGTGTAGTAAAGTGACGAGAAGGAGACCAACATAAGAATATCCATAATAAAATTGAATAAGAATGGAGAGAGTGGGTAGTCATGACGGACACCACTCGATGACCAGCAGTGAAATCCGGTACACGAGTTTCGTCTCGTTTGGGTATCGTCAGCTGAACGTACTTGTTGTTCCTACTGAGAATCGGACCAGTACCCATCACTTCAAACGTCAAAGTGTTGTTATCCATTAGACTACTGGGGCACGTTATGAATTCCACTGTTAGCCACTACAATGGTTAGTGGATCGAGAAGAAAAATGAGAATTCTAAGTATCAATAGGTAATAATATCGTGTTAAGTTTATAAATTTTTCTCCATTATTTGATGTATCGATAAATTATTGTTTCACACTTTCATGTAGATAACAATTAGACACAAGTAGATTGATATCATAGTAGATATAGCTGTATGGTGACAGAATCAATTTGAGGATAAATGTTAGTGAAAATGTTTAGACTTTCGAAGGCATCAACGAGTGAATTCATCTTGTGGCATATTGTCAGTCATGTTACAATAGGTCCCAAACTATTGACTCCTATTGTTTAGGGGATCCCAGTTAGACAGGTAGTCTACATCTCTCAATACAATTCAAACCAACAGTCAGAGACTTTATCGACTGATGTTACATCTTGATTTGACCACTCTGAACCTTCTTCCAGTATATTCGAACTTCGGCCACGTTTAGGCGTGTATAACACATGTTGGAGCTATCATAGCCGATGAAGGTTCACAATCTCTTTAATCGATCAGCCTCCTTTGCTTAGTAATCTACGGCTAACCTCGATATTGTTTACACTATGAATCCATTGTATATGATCAATATTAAAAAGATGCGTTTTATGAAATGTCTGTAACTTCTTCATATCTTCACCTTCCAAAGTTATTTCTCACAGTTGTACGAGAGGGAAGAGTGAACTATTGAACAGTATACTTTCTCAATAATCGATAAGTAGGATATCTCCTCTGTGCTAGAGATGAAGTCAAAGAGTTTAATGCTTAACGGGTCTTTTGAATGTGAGTTGTGATTTTGTCAGCAATTAACTCATTTGGGTTAATACAACTCCAAGTAAATGAATCGGTTAACGTATTCTACCACTTCACTCCCTATTCATTAGCTAAGACCTAGTACAAACCAGTGGTAACGTATCAGTTTACATTCAAGAGGTGCGAAATGCATGTTTAACATTACTCAGATATCTGTTGAAGACATTCCAAAGACTCTCTACTTTATCAACATTTTCGCCTGCTAGAAACATATTGATTATGCCTGACACTTCATCCATTCGCGCTGTTAATAGTAAATCTGTTTGAGAAGTTGGAGTTGCATAAGGTTACATCCATTAACACATCTACATTGAAGCTAAATGGGAATGGTGATAATACAAATATTTAGTCGGCAACATTCGTCATTGTTCCTCTATATGAACACTCCTTGTGTGTATGAGTTTGGGTAGAGACATTACCTGTTGAGAGATAACTTCAAAAGCCATCTTCAGGTCAATAAATTTCTCAGGTTATTAGGTCTCAGTATGCATCCGTTTACTCCAAAACTTGTTGAAGGATGATCTAATCAATGCACTCTCGTTGATATTGGAAACCTGGATTATCTTCTCAAGTCCCACGTAAAGCATTATATGATTATGGATCCTAGGATCATATATAATACCTTTCATCCGTTATTGTTTAAGTGAATGGGTAGAGGAGTTTCATCCGTCTGAAGATATGTTATGTAAGTTTGTATTTTTGCGTTCATTTGAGGTTATTGACTGGTGGAATCTTTACCCAGATATAGATGATTGGATTGATGTCCACCAATTACCACCACTTGTAGTGCTAATGTGATCTCTAACTCACTACTGATAACCGGTGGTTTTTGTATTACTGTAAAGTACAGACGTTGGAGATTGAGGATCTGTTGAAACACTAAGTATTGTATTAGCATTTTTCATTTGTAACGTTGATTGGGTTTGTCCGAATGTCATCAGGTGAAGATTTGCAGAGTGAGGCTTACAACAGCAATAGGAAGAGTGGCCTTTTTGAGCCAATCAAGTTGTGCTACTGGCCTTAAAGATCACCTGGCTGAACTAACCAATCGGGTTCCTTTATTTCAACTCGAAAAGCAGCTTTTCATAAAATATAGAATTTTGATTGGTTATCTAAGTAGTTGGTGGAGTGGTCTTCAGAGTCATTAAGTCTGACACATAAACGTCTCAACCAAATAAGCAGCAAAAAATGCACAAGTTCACCAACACGACTGCCTCTAAAAAGTGATTTTAAAAGCCACCCTAAAATTTTCTGAAATCAACCAGTCAGATTTCGGTATTTTGCTTAAGGTTGTTAAGTTTTTTGTGAAATCAAGGAATGTAATTGGCTAGTTCAGCAGCTGCTGCTATGCGAATCATTTAGTCAGCCAGACTCATAGTTGGCTGATCCAATTAGGAGACAGAAGGGTGGACGTCAAGGTCAACTTAACAACCACTGAAATAACCAATTAGGTTTCTGCATTCCGTTTTCCTGAAAATAAAGAAACGTTATTGGTTATCTGAAAAATTGTTTGTGTAACATTTAGAGTCATTCCAAAAGTGTGTGACAGTTGAGAGAATAAATCAATGAAAAGTTTTGTGAACATATTGAAGTTTGGAGGTCTGCGTAGATTTATTTAATGACTTCCAGTTAGTATTCATCATGGAATGATATCAGCTGAAGAAATATTGGATGAAACTCCTCAGCAGAGCGCACCTTTGACCCCGCCCTCTAGGGCTCTAACTCAGGACCTCCAGTTTTCTCAGTCAGCACATCACCATTAAGCCACTTGGTCGAAATCCAAAGGTCCACAGTTTCCTATTTCTGTCATTTCATGATATAGCATGCCCTTCAATACAGTGCTGTCGTCGTTGAGTAAGTACCATCACCTGCGACTTAGTTGACCCTACCTGCTATGACTTCTTATTAGAACCTCGGGAATCGCTTCTCGAAGCTAGTCACTAAGACTTTGAAAACGATAAAGTGTTGGTAGATCTGCGCCATTGTACCTGCTTTTAAAGATCTGACACTTTATTATTATTATTATAAATATAATGATTTCACTTTTTTTACGGCCCAGATTGTATCTGAAGTATCACTGAAAAGTCATTTACATGGGAAACGTCATCAAAATGCAATTATGGAAGCTGCACAAAACCGTCCTGTTGGAAGATCTGAACTCGTAAGTAATTTCTGTTTATCTGTAGGAAGTATTTCTCGAGCACAATTTATCTTATGTCATAATGTTGATAATGATGCTGAATACTCAGAAGATACTATAAGTGTCCACAATTAACAGCTGTCTCACTTAGTACCCAGTGTACACTTCACTAAGGCAGGAAAATGTCATGAGATGAAAGCTGATCTATGGTTACTGGAATGATTTCATTTGTTAAAAATACTTTATGTTATTGTATATACATTTGCCGATGATTTATGTCTAATGTCGCACAAACTCGAAGATCTACTGGCGAAAACTAACAAGTTGACAAAACAGTCAGGGCAACGAAGACGACACTTCGTTGAGGTGAACGTAGAGAAGACAGAGGTGATGAAGATACCCAACCAACAACAACAAGCACCGATCAACATTGACGGGAGAAACCTAAAGGAAGTAGTATCTTTCACCTACCTAGACAGCATCGTTTCAACTACAGGCGGCACAGGCATAAATGAGGTCGTCAAAGCCAAGATCGGGAAAACAAGACAGGCTTTCACTAATCTGTGGAGATCTACTTCACTCAGCATAAAGCGTGAACAAGATCCGGATTTTCAACAGTAAGTCAGTCAAGTCAGTGCTTCCATATGATGGTTGAGATACTTGGGGCGTGACGAAAAGCATCTCCAACAAACTACAGACATTTTATCAACAGCTATCGCCTACACTCACTTGATACTGAAGATCAGGTGGCCAGAAAAAATATGCATGGAAGAACTCACTCTGACAACGAACCAAACAACCAACCGAGAACCTATCGCCCAACAAATACGCGAAAGAAGAAAGTGTAGATGGATTGGATTGAACATAGACTGAGAAAACGATTTGGGGACATCACGCTTCAGGCCAGGCTAGGTCCCCGAGTGGAGAATCCAAAGATGAAACGACCAATTGGGTGTCCGAAGGTGATATGGATAAGATGAAGTGAGGAAGAAATGAAAACTTATAGGCAGTCGTGAAGCCAGGTTGAAGGGACTGGAGAGGAGAGAGTGAAATGGCGACGTGCTACTGAAGCCGTATGTTCCCCCAGGAACCCAAGGCACAAATAATAATGTAATAGTATTGGATATACATTCCATTTCCACACATAAAACTAAAACAGTAGCCCCATACTTGCATATTAACGTCAAAATGACCACAGATACGCAAAGAGACGTACACTCGCACAGCATTGATTGGAAATTGAAGCTAAAAAAAACACTTACTTTAATTACCAATGGGCGCAAAGTATTAATTTCTGTATTGTCTCACCTGAGATTCGAACCATCGCGTCACCCAGTGTTGTTGTAGTCATTTAGGTTGCCACTAAGTTATTCGAACTGCGATCGACCTCCTGTAAAAGTGGGGCTGCAGATACACCTTGTTGATGAGTGGGCGAAAGCGCCGAAGGCTTCAGGGGTTTGATCACGGCTACCTTCGTAACATACGCCATGGTGTGTCATGGTGTTACCATATGGATAATGCAGAATTCAGGCGTAGAGGTCAGTCAGTTGATGCGGTTGTGAACCCTCATCGACTGAGATGGCTGACGTGAACATGTGTTACATATACCTAACAACTGTCTGCCTCGTCACCCATTGTTGACTGAAGTATGTTCGGGTTGGAAAATAACTCGGGGAGGCCAGACTAAAACATGGAGTTAATGTATGAAGTGTTTGGCTGTTGGTTTGAGCCATCTGGGGTGATGTGGACTAGCCGGTTGGGGTCTACGGGATCAGAGAAACCAGTGGTTGGCTCAGAATCGATGTCAGTGGTACAGATATATGCATTCATTATCTTCTTCTTCCATCTTCTCTCTTACTCCTTACTCCTTCTACTTCCTATGATCTAATTGTCTTCCTTTCTTCATCTTTCATTTCACTGCTGTGTTACTTATTGTGTGCTGCTGATATGAGGTGTGGCAGCAACTTGGACCGTTACGCAGAGATGCCTAGTCCTATGTTGATGATGATCCTGATCTGTTAGTCAACAATTATGTTCAAGTTTACGCATTAAGTAGTGAATCATATCAATTGATAGTCTGGTTACTCGAATCTCAGGAAGTGGAGCAGTGGTTTCAACAAATAACCCACTCTTTACTGATTCTTGAAGTTTCCCATTGATATACTGGGTTGAATGATTTGACATGTGTTAGCAGGTGCACTCCTCTGTGGATTCCTCCATATTACCTCGACATTTATTATGTTATAGTCTTGTTGGTGGTTATCAGTGGAATCCAAGACGTGTGTTTCATCCTACTTCAGACTCGTCAGCCAAATGTACTTGCACGTCGAATGATGTAGTCATCGCTTCAAATATAGAAACGTTTCAATTCCTCTCCTTCTCTTTCTTCGTCTTTCTTGAGAGGAGTGTTGCCAACACAGGTAGTTCTGTGAAAAGAAGTTTTATATTTTATCTTCTTGAATGGGTGGTTCAGCTTATCAGTTTCGAAGTTGCGACGTAAAGATTGTAGCAACACATACTTCCCTTAATTCAATAGCGTGGGGTTCGATGAATTTCAACATTGACACTGACCTTCATAGTTTTATCGGATTCGCTTAGCTGGAGGCTCATAGTCAAGCATCCATGTCATTTGACACATTGCTGTGTTACGTTGCAGTGCTCATAGCTGACAATAACCAGCTAGCTAGTCGGAATACATCGGTATCTTAACACTCACTACCTCCTATCTCTTAAACTGACACTCACGAATTGCAGACAAAGGTAACTCAAGCATACAGTCGAAATTTGTCTACCTTGGTTGTATTGTATTCTCTGAGCTCGGTTTTTTAATCTTGGAGATCTTATCGTCTTTCTAGACAGTGGGATCATCGTCAGCACTAATTTCTTCAGTATGAAGAGAGCTGTCACTTAATCTCTCCGTGAATGAATCAGTAGCTTGCCCTGACGAACTACTCCCTGACCGGTTGTTTCTTTTGATTGTCATGTCATTGACTGACTGTGTAGATTTTCTTGTTGGTTGTTCTTCTGCTTCACCTCCTACCTTTCTATCATCTATCATTTTTCCCATTGGTTGATAGATTAGGTCTATGTCTATACATCTATTGATTGCTGACTGACTGAATGAGTGGTCTAAATCCCAAGTTTCTAGGAATTTTCTGATGACAGTCTTTATATTTCCTCTCTCTCTCTTTTTGTCTTCTTTGGTTGTTGCATTGTTTGGTCTGCGTAAGAATGTTTGGAGCGAATTTGTTGGTTTATAAGCCACACCTATTCCAATTCCGGATATCGTTTACAAAATCAACTGGAATAATTGTGATCAGCACTACACTGGACAAAGTGGTCGCCTACCTTCGTCTTCGTCTACATGAACACCAATTGGCTATTAACCATTAGACACGACATTTCATCACTCGTCGTTCAATGCATGTGGATAACAACTATGGATATAAAATCAATTTTGTCAATGTAGAACTCTTGAACGAAGAGAGGAAACACAAAGAATGTCATCAGAGAATTCCTAGAAAATTGGCATTCAGATCAGACAGTCGGTCAATCAGCAATCAACAGATGTATAAATATAGACCCAATCTATCAACCATTAAGTAAAAAGATAGAAGCAGAGGAACGGCCTACAGGAAGATGTATGTAGTCCGTCAATGACATAACAATCAAAGGAAGCAACCAGTCAGGAACCAGTTCGTCAGGGTATGCTATTAAATCACTAGTGGAGGAGATATTGTGACAACTCACTTCATACGGAAGTTAGTGCTGACGATGATGTCTAGAAAGACGATGAAAACTTAATGATTAAACAGCCCAGCTCAGAGAACACAATATTTAACCAGGACCATCCACATAAGTAACAAATATTCTCCACTATTTCAACATTTATCCTATTCAATGGTATCAAGATAATATTTACTACATATATATTCATACAGATGAGTAAAATATTATTTTTCCTATTCATTGATTAAATTGACGTTTTTCTAACTGATTTGATTTTTTTCCTCTAACTTTTTTTTTTATTCTAGGAAGCATTCAATTTATCACATCTTATCGATGCACCAACAGAACTTTCAAATCCTCAATACAATGCACAACAAGAACGCTTAAAACTACACAAGAAACGTACTAGAAAATTAAGACATAAATTAAATCAAAAGTTAGTTTTGTATATTAGCTGTCCGTTGTAAAGTAAACGAACATGTTCCAGTAACTTGACTATCCATTTGTCTATTAAGGTTCGTGTGTACTGCACAGTAGTCCACTCTCTCCTACTCTATGGCTGTGAAACATGACCATTGAGTGTGGAAGACATGAGACGGCTTCGAGTGTTTGACCACCGTTGTCTTTGTAGTGGTATAGGCCGTATTCCGTGGTGTCACCATATGAGTACCGCAGAAGTCAATTGTAGAGTTTAAGGGAGAAGAGGTAAGTTGGTTGACGAGGTTGTGAACCTTCATCGATTGAGATGTTTGGGACACGTACTACGTATGCCCAGTCACCTATTGCCTCGTCACGGGATGTTGGTTGAAGTAGGTCCAGGCTGGAAAAAGGCGCGAGGTGGCTAGACTAAAACGTGGCATCAATGTATGAAGTGTGTGTGTTGGTTTGAGCCCTGTGGGGTGATGAAGACTAGGTGGTTGGGGTTGACGGGACAAGAGAAACCAGTGGTTGGAGACTGACTCTAGGTGATCACATGGCTGAGAACCGATGTGAGTGGCGCAGATGTATCCCCACACACATTGTCCTCATCTTAACGACGCTATACCGAATCTCACCATTTTCTCATTCTTCGTTTATCTCTTTTCGTGTTTTATATTTCTTTTGACTGATTTCTCTTATCTTCATCTTGCACCTCACTGCCTCTTAGCTTGATGTGGTGATATGAGGTGTGGTGGCAACTCGGACCGTAACGCATTAATGCCTGGTCCTATGTTGACATTCATTGATGATGATGAGTAACTTGACTCATCTCTACTAATTACCACCATTGTATAATAGTGAAACTTGTCCACTATGGTAGAATGTAATTCCATTTTCATTGATTTATTAGATCTATCACACAATAAAGGAACAGTATTGTTTACTGGATTACGTTTCGGATATAATTATACACTGCATGGATGCATGGAGACAGGTTCATCCAGCTGATGATTCCATTGTAAGAGGGAACGCACAGGCAATATGTCGAGGCATCCACACAGCAGCCCATATGCCTATATAGACCGATCCAAATAGCGACAGGATAATACAAGCAACAGTACTGTAACTATACCCATCGTACAAGAAATGGCTATCGTGGCTCGGTCGTGTGGTGGATAACGCTCTGGCGTTCGAAGCGATCGGTCCCGAGTTTGAGTCCTATTGAGAACTGAGGGGCAGGTATATCCAGTTGACGATTTCCGAGAAGGTTGAAATGCGCGTCGAGCTGGATTCCACTGCTAACCACTATCTATCATTAATCCTTTATATAATCCTATTTACCTTGCCCCCTTTGTGACATGGGAAGTAAGATTTACCATGTATCCGGAACAGGTGCTGAGTCATTCCTTTTGTTGCATGTATTAGGTATTGATTCGATAATCAAAGATTCCATCGGTTATCAATGTCTTCCCTCACCCTGTTATGTTAGTTTTATGGATTTTCACCCTGTCCTATCCTATTGTGTAGTTGTGTGTAACCGCATGCAGAGCTGTTTTCTAAATCGCTTATCTTAGTACAATCTACCAATTTTGACCTAGCTAAGTTTTTGTGCTAGGATAACCTAACTGACCCTGGCTGGTTCACTACTTTGACTCACCTATGTATTTGACTTCGTAATTGTTGCGAGGGATTTGGTAAACTCAGATATTCTGCCTAATTGGATCGATAGGGTCTTTTAACCCACAAAGCCTATTCTGAAGGGAGTTTGTAGGTTTCAGTGCCACTGTAATCCCAGCCAGCCAGCCAGCCTTATTGAGAATTCTACTTAGTGTTTCTCAGGTGTCTTCTTTGTATGGTAATACTGTAGTGGATTTGAATTCTCTATTCACAGTATTGCCACTATTACATCACCTTATTTAAGGCTCTCTACCCGAACATTTGTCGGCATGTTAGAGCCTATGGTGAGATAGCGGGGGAGGAGGGGGGCTGCACTCGTCGAGTAATGTCCGTCATGACTACCCACTCTCTCCATTCCTATTCAATTTTATTATGGATACTTTTATGTTGGTCTCCCTCTCGTCACTTGACTACACAGAGGTTGACCTAATCACAGGAGAATTTTCTTCAGACCTAGAATATGCAGATAACATAGTCCTGTTAGGTGGAGACACTGACAAGATGCAGAGTCTTCTGAACACTTTGAGTGGGAATTTGAGAATGTTTGGGATGCGGTTCTCACCACGTAAATGAAATTGTTGCTCCAGGATTGGTGTTCAGCGGTGCGTTGGCTAGCAATGGAGAGTGTAATGGTTGAGTGTGTCAACCACTTCACTTACCTGGGTTGGGTAGTGGAATCAACCCTGTCCTGGTGGCTCAGTGACCGGTGAGATCTCTGCACGAATACAAAAGGCTTGGTTGGCTTTTGCTAACTTACGCCGTCTGTGGGGCCGCCGTAATATCCGATTGTATATTAAGGGCAGCATGTACTGCGCAGCAGTCCGGTCTGTTCTACTGTATGGCTGTGAAACATGACCATTGAGTGTGGAAGACATGAGGTGGCTTCGAGTGTTTGACCACCGTTGTCTTTGAAGTGGTATAGGCCGTATTCCGTGGTGTCACCATGTGAGTAACGCAGAAGTCAGGTGTAGAGTTTTAGGGAGAAGGGGTAAGTCGGTTGACAAGGTAGTGAAACTTGATGGACTGAGATGGTTGGCTGGGGCATGAGTTACGTCTGCCTCGTCACACAATGTTGGTCGAACTAGGTGCAGACTGAAGAAGTGTCAGACTAAAAGATGGCAGCAAGGTATGAAGTGCTTTAGTGTTGGTTTTGAGCCCTGGGGTTGGAGTCAGCGGGCCGAGAAGGACTAGTGGTTGGAGACTGACTCTAGGTGATCACATGGCTGAGAACCGATGTCAGTGGTGAAGATGTATCCTCACACACACATTATCTTCATGTTAAGGCTTTACCGAGTCTCACCTTTTGTTTTATTCTTTCTTTTATCTCGTTTACTGCTTCGTATTTCTTTTGACTGAATTTTCTTTTCATCTTTGACTTCACTGCCTTTTACTTTATTTATGGCAACTCGAAACGTTAAGCAGTAATGCTCGGCCCTATGTTGGTTTAGATTGATTATAACCGCTACTATTATTAACATCATTTTCAACACTATTATTGTTGGTGTTATTACCACTAGTATTACTACTATTCATAACTGTGTTATTGATATTTTCCCTACAATTCCTAAGGAGCTTATAAATTAACCTGGGAGGGTAATTGTTGATGATTAAGGCGTCTTTAATGTATCTGGTTTCTTGCTTTACATCTTCTGTTTTACTAGTAAGATTTTTGGTCCGGTTACTTAGACACTTTACTAAGCCAAGTTTAACTGACTGGCATAGGGTGAGACGATTTGAAGTCATCTAATTAACGATTTGAATGTGAAGGTTTTCTGTAGACACTAGTGCATCTAAACTTCCATCTTGTCTCCTTTTTATTCTGCAATCCATTCTATGTTACTAGTGAAATGGTTTGCTTCTACGCTCTGACTTGTAGTGCATATCAGTGACTGACTGAATTGTATTCGTACATAATCGATAAACACTGTCAGTAGAATAAGCGGTGTAACTTTGACAGACAGACTGCTAAAATCAGCGTAGAACTTCGCAGACATACAGATGCATCGGGTTGTTATCGTATTGATGAAACAGAAGACAGATACGACGGATAGAATGTCCATTACAATTAACAATTGGAACGGTAGTCGTAACATATGAGGTACACCTTGAGAGTGTTTGGGATGCGATTTTCACCACCCAAATGCAAATTTTTGCTCCAAGACTGGTCTTCAGCGGTATCGCGGCTAACAATCGAGAGTGAAGTGGTTGAGTGTGTTGACCACTTCACTTACCTGGGAAGTAGGATCAACCTCGGTGGGTCAGTTGCCGATGAGATTTCTGCACGGATACAAAAGGCTCGATTGGCTTTTTCCAACTTGCACCACCTATGGTGCCGCCGTGATATTCGCTTGTCTATTAAGGGTCGCGTGTACTGCACAGCAGTCCGCTCTATTCTACTGTATGGCTGTGAAACATGGCCATTGAAAGTGGAAGATATAAAAAGGCTTCGAGTGTTTGACCACCGTTGTCTTTGTAGTGGTATAGGCCGTATTCCGTGGTGTCACCATGTGATTAAGGCAGAAGTCAGGTGTAGAGTTTTGGGGAGGAGATGTAAGTCAGTTGACGAGATTGTGAACCTTCATCGACTGAGATGGTTGGGACACGTACTACGTATGCCTCGTCACACAATGTTGTCTGAGGTGGGTCCAGACTGGAAAAAGGCGCGAGGTGGCTAGACTAAAACATGGCACCAGTTCATGGAGCTTCCGACTGTTGGTTTAAGCCATGTTGGACGATGCAGACTAGGTGGTTGGGGTTGACGGGACAAGAGGAACCATTGGTTGGAGACCCTAGGTGATATAGCTGAGAACTGATGTCAGTGGCGCAGATGTATACACACATTATCCTCATCTTAACAACGCCACACCGAATCTCACCATTTTGTCATTCCTCTTTCCTTTCTTCTCGTACTTTATATTTCTTTTGACTGCATTCACTTATCTTCATCCTTCACCTCACTACCTTTTTACTTGATGAACTGACGTGATGGGGGTGCCAACTCGGACCGTAACTCAGTGATGCCTGGTTCTATGTTGATAATGATGATGCTGACACCTTCCACTAAATCCGTCATTTGCAAAATGTGTTTCCTTTCCTTTTCTGTTTCTCTCTTGATTTGATCTTCATACATCCTTATCAGCAACATCCACTGTAATATGCCTGCGTTATCGCTTGCGTTGCTCTCGGCAGAACCCTTACCCTTTGCTAGTAATTCATTATGATTCCTGCCACCTTTTCATCATATACTACTTACATCCATTCTTATTAATAACGCGCACTACAAAACTACACAGTAGTTTACAAAGAACTACTACATGAAAAACGAGTGATATATCAAAG